CTGTGTTCGGTGAGTCGGGAGATCGAGTGTATGTATGTAACCTTGTGATGGCGATGCTCAGTGGAAACGAAAGGAGGACTTGCGACGGCACTGGTACGCGGGGGATCTAAACGATAGAGATGTTCAGGAGAGTTAAGGATGGTGAGGTGATGATAGGCGGCATAGCCCCCTGGACCGTTATCAGTGCTTCTGTGGGAACTGTGCTGCTTCACGTGAACGATATGTCTAATAACGAAACTTCGCGTATTCTGCGTTTGTTAACTAAGCTGGTTACTCTGTACTAACAGCGTATTTTATTACATTCAGCTGGTGGTGTGGTACTACGCGACGAATGATGATGGAATATATAAGAGCAATATGCAAGCTTGAAAGCTTCGCAACGGCTTTTGAGTGTCGCAGCTCGCCAGCACTGGCATTCACCAATGATGATTCACCAAGTCAAATGATGTTGAGTGTGGTATTGCTAGCAAAGTGGGTTGAGATGTTGGTACTGGAGCCTTGAACGCCTGGTCTTTTCGCCTTTTAATGGAAGGCGATGAGCGCCGAGATCATGGCCATCTAGACGGAGACAGTGATAGTATTTCACGCATCACGGATTTGATGGAGGGTCGGAAATATTCCAGGGCAGGCGTCCTGGAGGACGGATTGCATTCAAGTCATCAACGACACTGTATGATCTCGCGCATATTGCAATTGTAGGTATTTGAACTGCGTAGCACAAAACGACAACTATGTCCGAGGAAGTACTGGTACGAAATAGAGGGAATCTTGGCGATTTCTATGACTGATTGGGCCCTGAACCTCGCTGAGATGAATTTGTCTTTCGGTTCGTCGCTAGCATCATCTTCGCAAACTACAGGTATCTCTGTCAATTTTTGATGGTAGTTTCCTTACAGTGCAGCTTGATGTTCATTGTCTCAATGTAATTATGATTTAGCTGCAGTGGTGCATAAGAATTTCGTTCTTGATAGGTATAACCAAGTTGACGATATTGAATTATTCAACACGCCTCATGGTGTCTCAATGTTCACAACGTCACCTTGCTGGCAGATTCTAGGAACCGGTCGTACCTTGCCTGTTTATCTTTGTAGTATGGACATTTTGCTATTTCCTTAATGAACCAGCTTATTTACCTACACTCCATCTTTCTTGTTTTCTGAGTTGTGAGGCGATGGAATTGCTCCATGAGTTACCAAGGTCCTCACGCTATAAAACATTGTCTTGGGACTGGTCTGAAGTCGCATTGTGGAGTTAAATCCAAACAGGTACATGGCCACATATATCTAAGGCGAAAATCTCGATGCGGATGCTCCTCACAATGCTCCATTCTCTTTCCTCTACATCAGCCAAACCCACTGCTTCACCCTGTTATCGACTCGAACAACATCATTTGAATCATGAAGCAACTCGACGATACTGCACAGGCAGAGCCTTTGAACACCGTCGACATCCAGCGCTCGCGACTCGTCAGACTCTCCACCGAGATACTGCTGGAAATCGCCAAATTCTTCGAATGGCACGACAAGTTTCTCTTTTCTCATACCTGCAAACGCGCAAAGAAGGTGATCGGCACGGACATGAAGGACTGGGATAATCTTTTCGAATTGAAACGCCCTTCGAGGGTCATGAGCAAGGCTGCGAGAGTCTTTCTCGCTGGCCTCGCCTGGAAAATGCCTCATTATTGGGTTTGCGAGTTTTGCGTGAAGCTTCACCATATTTCTAAAGCTTGCCCAACGTTTGAGTCTCAAGCTATGAAGTCTACGGATGTCCCCTCGAGATTGGAAACCTTACTGCAACCGGTTGCTTTGCCCATACATCATTCACGAATACAGATGGTGCTCAAACTCACAAGAATGAAAAATAACGGGGTTGCTGTCGACTGTCAACTACTCAGCAAGGTGTTGCAGAGCCACAAGTTAGCCTCCCGATGTGAGTGGAAGGATGAACATCGCCGGTGTAATCGAGTGCAAGGAGTAATCGTCCCCAAAGTCATCAGAGGGATGTTCATCCTTTACGCCAGGGTGGAAACGACCAGATGCGCGCCAAGATCAGACCGAACAGGATTATGGCTCGGAGACGTTGACGGATATACCTTGTGTAAACACATGACGTACACGCTCAGGGGGCTGGTGTTCCTCTCGTGGGGACGGTACTCCAACAGTAGCTCGTCGCCGCTGGGTTTCCATTATAACTTGATAACTGCTTTTGAAGAGAGGGGAACGCCAGTGAAGGGTTACTGCAAATACTGTCTCCTCGATTATACCCTTGTTGCCACCGCTGACAGTTTCATCGTGGAGTCATGGCAGAGCCTGGGGCGCTACGACCGGCCTCAAGATGCGCTGACGGACGAGCCGCTGGATCTCAAAGACCTGCCGCTGGAAGACCGCCCCTGGATGTTATTTCCAGGAAGAATGATCACGCCACGAAGTGGTGTGGCGTTGATGGGCGGCGAGCTTGTGTACCACCAGCCAGGCAGCGCACGGGACGCGTACATGAGTGGGTAATAACGGAAAGAGGCCGCCGTCAAGATTTGAGTCTGTTGCGACGGAAATGCATTTATATGAAGGTGTCATAGGTGAGTTCGGTAAAACATGGTTCATTATTAAGGATCGAGGAGTTATCTGCGATTACTTGCATATGTTAGTTAGCGGTGGGAGGTTTTCCTGCGACTTGTCAGGTAAGATACGCATATCGAGTATATAGGAGCTTCGCGGTCGAAGTTTGAGAGAAACAACTATCAAATACCGCATATGAATAGAGCGTTTCTCTTTGTTGCGTTTCGTGTGAAGATCTAAAGGGAGGCCTTTAAAGATCCGCACCCAGATCGTATCGTCGTCTGGGCTGTTAGTTGTAAGACAGTGACAAACACATATATACCAACGTCTGTCCTCTTTTATCAACCTGAGGTGGATCGCACATCGAAATTTATGCATCCGAATCTCATTGTGAGGAACGGGTGTGGTGTCAGGCAAGATCCAAGGGTATTTGGTCAAGCAATAACGTAACTCTGTACAAGTTGCTTTGAAGAGTCTTCGATTCACAAATTTGTCCATTCCAGAATTTATCGAATGGAATAAAAGGAACTTCGTGCTAATTTAGTCATAGCAAAATGTCGTTGAAGCGCACAATAATTAAACCGGTTCTGGAAAGTCGAAATCAGTCTCTCATCATGGCGTCAATCCGAAGACTGTGGGTCGCACGGGACCTGCAGCCGGGGACCTGATCTGAAGTGTTGATAGGCCAACTAAGTGAAATAATGCCGAAGTGCCTTTGATTGGTGGAAATGTTCAGATCTTGATGAAGGCACTCATCCAGTCCTACTTCGATCGAACATGAAAACATCTACTTGAGTTGATCTGGGTCCTGGCAACAAATTCGCAAGAATTCATCACGGTCCCAGTTGCACTATCAATACACTAATGACCCTAATTCCCCACTTTCTTCCCTGATATATGGGAGACTACTGACGAGAAGGAGACCTCCCAGACCCTCACAACCTTGCCACTTCGGAAGAGATGTGATTGCCAAACCTCCAAACCAATCCAGATTCCATGCTCCACTTCACTGTGATTGCTCATACATGCTGCGGTCTAATGCATTGTACTTGATTCAACAAATGCCTTACAGCTGCCAAGTCAGAGCCTTGTCCGAATAAGGATAAAATGCGGCACAACAACACTTCTAGCCAAGACAGGCAACCCGGGAATAAATGTCTCAGTTGACACATCCACACGCGTATCACATTGATCAACGCGGAATGAGGCTTCGTCAACAATTTTTCGCCGCCGTCAAGAGCCCAAGATTCCATATGCTATTCTGCCATTTTTTGCCGTCGATTGCGACTCGTTGGCTATTTGGGTAAAGGGTCGGACCGGTTGGTTGCATTGCATATCGCTCAACGGCCTTGTGTAACCGGACATAACGCAATAAGCTGACGAACCGCGGACCGTTCCCGTTGTAATCCGCGTTATTTGATTGGGTTTGAAGCGTTTCCAGAATATGAAAGGGTGCGAAGGCAGCGAATGAGCTGCATGTAGTTGCCGGGTTGGGCATATATTGGATGCGTGTGACAACTTTAGTCGTTCTTAACCCCTGACGAAATCAAGAGTGCATATTGCTTGCGCATGGAATTAGTGACGGCCCAGCCTCGTATGGAGGACTATGTGTTGTGCTGTGATGGCATTCGTGCCGATCACTCATGGCGTTCTTTCTTCGTTGGACTCGAGCCTCGTCTGCCGAGAAATGGTGCGTTGTTGATCGGTCTTGATACGTCCAGGAGCATCGGAGAGCTGACCCTATTGAGACTGTGAGGGGTTGAATGTTATCGGTATTCATCCCGCAGGTTGACCATATAACAGCGCATAGTTCGCGGACTGCGCCGTTGGTTGTCTTGAGTTTAGCAATCGAGCCTGCGCATATACAATTTGGTGCCCAGCAATTGACCATGGCCGGGCTTTCGTCACTCGCCCTCGGCGTTGGAGCCGTCTTTTTTTTCTTCCTTCTCATCCGCAAAGTCTTGAAGGCAGGCAGAAACAGTCCTCATCCGCCTCTACCCCCTGGTCCCAAGGGGCTCCCAATCGTGGGAAACCTCTTGGACCTGCCCAAGCCTGGAGACTACGAGGCAAAGCATTGGATCAAACACAAAGACATCTACGGTCCGTCATGTTGCATTCGGCTGTCTCATAATCTTGACCAATGTCTGACTGATATCACCTCACACAGGCCCCATCAGCTCGATTACAGTGCTTGGCCAAACGATGGTGATCGTCAATGATGCCAGCATTGCTTTGGACATGCTGGAAAAGCGGGCAGTGAAGAACTCGTCGAGACCACACTTGTTGTTCGGCGGTGAGATGTGAGCTGTGTATTCATAAGTATGGTCGGCGACCGAACGCTGACACAGGCATAGAGTTGGCTGGGGGCACAGTCTTGGACTTGTTCGGTACGGAGATCGCTTTCGGAAACATCGCAAGAACATAGCAATGACCATTGGCTCCACCATGGCTGCGGCCCAGTACAAAGATCTACAAGAGGCGGAGGCTGGTCATTTCTTGCTGCATATTTTGAACAATCCCCAGGGTCTCTTTGGACACATCAGAAAGTAAGTCGCTTATCGGCACTCACCTCAGTCTAGATGAACATGCTAATAAGGCCAAAAGAGAGGCTGCTTCAGTGGTCTTGAAGATGATCTACGGCTATAATGTAGATCAGTTCAAAGCCGATCATCTTGTTGAAGCGATTGAAAAAGCTATGGACGGGTTTGGGCAGGCTTCTGTACCTGGTACTTTCATGGTCGACATTTTCCCCTGGAGTGAGCAAATCAGACATGGACGACAGACATGGAGCGTTGCTGACGGAGTCTAGTGCGGTATCTCCCGGAATGGTTCCCTGGAACGGGATGGAAGCAGACTGCCAAGGAGTGGCGCGAAGACCTGAGGGTCATTGTTGAAAAGCCATTTGCTTTCACCAAGCAACAGATGGCCTCCGGACGAGACACCTCGTCAATCACCTGCAACTTGCTTGGTGGCGATCACGATAAAAAGCCAGAAGACGAGTACCTCACGAAATGGACGGCTCTCTCTCTCTACGCGGGGGGAGCCGATACTGTAAGCCCCCAAGTCTATGGCGTGCACAGCACTTGGCTGCTGGATGCTAGGTCACATGCTAATTCGTTGCAGACGGTGTCTACAGTTGCATGCTTCTTCCTTGCCATGTCGCTTTACCCTGAGGTACAGCGTAAAGCTCAAGCTGAGATTGATCAGGTCGTTGGGCAAGACCGCTTACCCACCTTCTCTGATCGTCCTAACCTGCCATATATCGAGGCTCTTCTGATGGAGCTTCTTCGTTGGCAGCCCGTTGTGCCCATGTCCATACCTCATATGTCTTCGGAAGAGGACATCGTTAACGGTTACTACATCCCCAAGGAATCAGTGATCCTGCCAAATATATGGTGAGTGCTCTTCGTAGACTTTTCTTCGAAGATCATGGAAAAGTCAGAAACTGATAGTCGAACCTCTCGCGACAGGTATTTCACTCATGATCCCAAGCTGTACCATTCGCCTATGGAGTTCAAACCTGAGCGCTTCATGTCCACCGAGGGCAACACACCGGAAATGGACCCTAACAGATTTGCCTTTGGCTTCGGACGCCGCATCTGTCCTGGCCGTGTCCTCGCCGACAACGCCTTGTTCATCACAATTGTGCAGGCTCTTTCAGCATTGGAGATCAGCAAGGCTGTCATCGACGGCCAGGTCGTCGAGCCAAAGATTAGTCTCCTTGGTGGAATCGTCAGCCATCCGGAGCCCTTTGAGACATCCGTCAAGCCGCGCTCTGCGCATCATGAAGCGCTGATACGGGCGGTTGAGAAGACCTACCCATGGGAGAGAAGCGATCAAGGAATGTTGGAGAAGATGGAGGTTTGAAGGAGTCCACCTTTGCTTTTCTGTTCACACAGTGACCACGTGTCTGTTCCATGTCAGATGTCGCATTGCATACGTCAATAAGCACCTCATTTCAAGCTCTAGATACTAGAAACCCGTGAAACAAAAGGCACCCAAGCTTCTAATCCATGGATGAGACATGGCATCGTCATCTCCGTTGTGAACCAATACGGCCAGTCCATAGCACACTCATAGCGTCGGCGATGTGGTCAGCGTCAGGATGGATGTTAGCGTTTCATCTTTCGTCTTTGGTGAACGCTCTTTACCAGAGCGAAACAGCTACCGGCACCGAGCTTTTCGGACGGAGGTGGTCATTGAGACTGCAGTTTATGATAAGGTCTTTGGCTTTCTATGAACTGTGCTAAATGTTTTCAATTGCTCAATTCCCTTGCACTTGCTATCGCCATGGCACAGGTTTCTGTGCAATTGAACTCAGGGGATGCGGATCGGAAGTGCAAGATTAGTGTGAGATTCAACTCAATGATATCCGCGCTACTGGGCGCTCCTCCAAACGAACGTTTCTTCTCGCAAGCTGCCTTATCCCAATCGGTTGTAAGTTATTCCAATCCCCAGTCGAAATCTTGCCGCACCCAACCAGATAGCTGCGGCACCTCCGCTTGAGACATGTTTGCGCGACAGGGAAGTGAGTAATGTAGCCGGCTTTCTGAGTGATTGAATTCCTCCTGAAAGTCGAAACATGAAAGTAGGTAGACAATGAAGCTATCCGGATTTGAGAAGATTTTTACGCGTGACCAAAAGTACCTTTAAGGCACACGAAAAAGTGTTTTCCAAACTACTAGACCATGCAAATACAATTCTGATTTCGATACAAACGCGTTTGCCTTTACATGTTGTTTCCTACTAAGCCTATGCTGCAGATGTTGTTCAGCCATAGGTTCATGATAGCTTACCATCTGTAACTAGCGGCGAGAGACTACTTTTGACCCTTCAACAAGAGACGCGGACTTTCTCTGCAGAATACGCGTACATCAACGGAGGCGACTAGTCCCAAACTCCTGTCCTGCCCCACCTGTCCCGGATCACCGGACACGGTCGACAAAAAGCTTATTATAGTTCGTCCATTTCTCTCAGATTCGCGGCGTATCACTATCAGCACGAGCCTGTCAAGTTTCATCTCGGCCAATCCGGAAAGAGATGGGTCAAGTCGAGCATTGCTCTCTCGCTGGCTTGGCCATACTCTCTAACCCACTAGTCCGCCTCGTCTACTTCATATAGATGAACTGAGCAACTTTAACTATTGAGTCAATCGAGACTGGAGATCTTAAAATGCAGCTTGATTAGTAACCTTTAAGTTGTTCTGGACGGTCGGACGAACGACCTAGATGTGTATATCTCGCGTGGGGGCCAAGTTCGTCCGCAAGACAAGGGAAAAAGAGCCTTGAATGTTGCATGTGTTGAGCGGCTCTCTTTTGGTTTTGGGCAGACTCATGTTCTTGGAGTCTCAAATGGATTAGGAGTAATGATTCCAGACTACTGGTTGGTGATAAGCGGGATCAAGCCGTCCGCAAGGGGGAAGCAGGCCGCGACTCAGGAACTCGGCGACTAATTCACCTGTTGTCGGAACCTTAATTCCAGGGCTCAGCGCTTCTGACTCGACCGGATCTTGTAGCCTCTGGAGGAACATATTTAGTTCCATGAGTCGCGAGTTGACAAGCATCCAGTCTGATGACTGCACTCTCACTGCTATTGTTGAGTTAACACTCACACTCTCTCTTCGCCTGTTTTCATTTTTTGTACATACCAAGACATTCATTAAATTTACCCAACCTTCATTCATCATGCGCATGCAAATCGCTTTCTCCTTGGTTGCAGCAGCTGCTGTCCAGCTCGTCGCCGCTGGTGACTTCTCAAAGACATGCAACAGCATGTCGTACTTCTCCACCACCCTCAGCGCAAAGTGCACGAACACCGACTACGAGCCCTACGATGAGGATACCGATCTCGACCTGACGAGATGCCTCGCCAATGTTGGAGGCCAAGTTGTCGTAAGCTATTTTCCACGCCGAAACGCAAGCTTCTTGGCAGTGTGAACAATGTGGAAGTGGCTGATAATGTTGTTTGCAATCCGCAGTGCCGTCCCGGTAGCCCGTCCTTTAAATTCTGCGACTGCGGTCTCGCTGGTGACAAGAAAACATTGAACTGCCGTTGCACCGATTCCACTGGAACCAAGAAGGCATCTTCGTTGAATCTCGGTACGGCTTTACATGGGAAATTTCCCCTCCCGACGCGACCAACAGCTTACACCCTGATTTAGATACTTGTTTGAGCAACAGCAACGGCAGCCTGAGGTGCTAGATATTCGGCTAGGCGCCAGGTTACAAGATCACGAGACTGTTTGGCTAGGGTACGATAGTTGATCCAGAGAGAGCTGAGGAGTCTCCGTGGCTACGTGCATAGCTCTTAACCGAAGTTTCACCGCGTATCATTGCAATGAATTCCGGCTTGTCTTCAGCATTCTTGAATTACTGTCAAACTAGGTAGATGGAAAGCTATACAATTACCAGTCTTCCTATGGAATGCACTCGGGCACTTCAGTCCATGTGTGTTTTTGAAACTAGGAAATCTAAAGAAAATGAGCATGGGCTCAGCGAACCATATCCCTGACAATCTTTCTGAGGAAGTAAACGTCATGTTCGTCGGGCTTGTCGAAGTCTTGACCGAATGTTTGGTACGGCCGAACGAAGAGCCTGCCATCCGAATCGTACGTGGAAGATTTCCCGCTGAGTGTCTTGAAGATGCCCTTCATGCAATCATACGCCGTGGCTTTCGTCCAAGCCTCTAACATATACTTGTCTCCATCAGTATCACTGAGAGCTTCGAAGGCTTTCAAACAGAACATGACAATGGCCGCCAGCCCTGAGGCGTATGCCGTCGCATACGAGCTGCCGCTGACCAGTTTACCGGTGGAACTCGGAAGGTTTTCCCCTGGGAGAAGGAAATCGACCTGGGCGTCAAGATTTTCGCGGGCAGCCTCGCCATATATCGTGGCTGCTCCGATTTTGAAGACTTTTTTGTTGAGCCCTAGTGGTGCGAAGTCCTCGGTTTTAGCGCCAGTTTTGTCCGGTAGGGCCCCAAAGATAACGATATTGTTCTCGACCGCAGTTTTCAAAAGATCTTCAAACTGCCTCTCATAGGCATCGTTGGCACTTCCTTTTCTTTCAAATGTCCAGCTTATGGAAATAATGTCGACTTTCATATCTATGGCCCATTTGAGTGCCTGAAATGATGTTCAGCGGGTCATGGTCCATGACTATGGGCTGATGTAGGAGAATGACGGTAGGTAGAGGGTCTCACCTGACAACAAGACGCGATAGTAAACATTTGATTCTCAACCGTTCTTGAGTCGTCCAGACGGGCAATGTGGAGCTCAGCCATAGGGCAGACCTCTCTGATACAGCGTGCCATAGCCGTCCCATGCTCACAGGGCCCGACAAAGAACTCCTCTTTGTCTTGTCGAAAAGATCGACCTGTCTGTATGCCGTTCAGGTCTGTCAACTTAGCTCCGCTGTCTAGAAGGGCTACTTTTATGCGGGGCTTCTCGCTGGAGTTGTTGATTTTGAGGTTCAGCATGAAGCTTTTGAAATTCTTCAACTGGGCGATCCACTGATTTGTGTCGAGCCTAGATACGCTTACTTTTAGCATTATTCAAACGCCTTGCGATGAAACCTACGGCTTCTCCAGATTGTGAGACATTCGTGTGTCTGCATCATTGCTCCTTCGGTTGCGTTCCGTGTCAGATTCGCTGAGTCGTAGAACGCCATGATTCTGGATTATTATGTCCGCCGATTTTAACCGGGGGACAGTGTTTAGGAGTGTTGTTCGGAACTCCTCTTGATATTGCGTGCAATCATTTTCGTCGTCCACGCTCTTCTCGTGAGGTGAGTTAGTGCTCAAGTCATGTGAAATCCGTTTATTATTTACAATTTGCGACTTACGCTCGGGTATATCTCAATCGAGAGCTGTTCCAGCTACCGCACTTTTAGTGAAATGCACCAGAGCTGAGACAAGGTCAATGGGGGTATTATGCTCACCTTTTCTAATCGAGCAAGCCCGTTACTTGTTGCCCAACCTCTCAAGACCGCGGTATTCCCGTGGGAATACAGATGAATCCTTCTGGCCTCTGGGGCAGCAATTGCCACTGTCTCGGCGCAAATGTCGAACTTCTTCCACTTCCACACCTCAACGCGGAAGTCGCGTGGACATACAGCGTTGTCTTTCGAGTCCAAGCCGGTCAATGCCTCGCGGATGGAAGCATTCGTATGAGATTCCGGCCCGTCGTCATCGACATCGAGGGTGAATATTTTGCGTACTCCTTTGTCCCAGAGCCAGTCGAAGATGCCTGGGTACGGGTTGGCCTCTTGCTCTCGGGACTTCTGAGATCTGCCTTTATGTGACTGGTCAGAACTTTTCTGACCAACCTCCGGTGCTGTTCGCTCGGCCGCTGTCTCTGCATCCTCTGAGGGTTTCCAGTACGGCAGCGTGACGGAGGCTAAGACTGTTTCAAATCGTATGCCGGATTGTTGCCGGATTGTTTTTATATAGGCTTTGTCCAGTGTTACGCATTCACTAGCGAGATTGAGACAGAATTGACGCTCTACAAGATGGTCAGGGTAAATCATTCACTGAAGCCGTAGCGTGGTTAGCCAACACCGCGGTCTTATGAAAGTTACACACCTGTTTCTGCGTCCCAGTATAGGAATTCTGACTTCTTCGACCACATGCCGTCTTCATCGGTTGAGCTACTTCCTTTAAAGCCGATGCATTTCCTCTTCAGCAAGTCCTCGGCCTCAACTCGAGAGTTGTTTCTTGTCTTCTGCTGTTCCTTCAGTAACCGGTATGCATTTCGACCTTTCGCATCCTTGACAAAAATGGAATCTGGGTGCCTGTCGATTAGGGCCTGAATTACAGAGAGTAGCAGGCCGTAATCGATGTTTTGAGCATCGTATAGCTTGACAGCCCTTTGCAACGGGGTGAGTTCTGTGGCGTCTTTGGGCTTTCGGTTGAACAGCTCATCAGGGCAAAGCTGAAGAAGAGCCTTAAACCCCAGGAGAGGTAAAACCCGACCAGCGGCCTTTCGTCCCGAGTCGAAGTTGTTCTGGTTCAGCAGCGACTCCAGACAAGATTCTGCTCTCTTCTCGGACTTGAGAACTAGCTCCAGCCTTTTACGAAGCTGTTTGTCTTTTTCGAGCAGCCTTTGTACGTCGACCGTGTGGTGGAGACACTGCTCACCATCCACCAGTGTGCTGATCACATCGGCGTCTGATCTAACACTTCGGCTGCATTGTCGCAGACGAAGAATGGAGGCCTTGAGGAGTGGGCATTTGACGCAGTCTCCAGTGAACGGCTTTTCGATCTCGATGAAACTGTCTCTTGGAATGAGCAGGTCGATTACCCGAAACAGCGTGGCTATGTGGTGTTTGGCGGCTTCAATCATGGGGATCTTATCGTCCTCATCCGCTTCAACAAAAAAGTCGGGATGTTCCACGACCAGGGACTGAATCTCCTTGATCACTGGTAAAGGATTGATGTCATTTGGCTCCCTCCTGAATCTTTTGATGGCTCGGTGGATGATATTCTGCTGATCGTCATTTTTCCTAAGTCGCTTTTCGAAAACTTGACTATACTCTTCACCGGATTTGGTGTCATTAAACCATGCATTGAGGAGTTTCCTGTGGGCATCCTCGACAGAGATGCCGTCATTTACAGGCCGCCCATGATTGCGTAGCCTGTCATCGCCGGCTCTCCCACGACCGAGGTCATTCAACTTCTTTGCAGAGTCGCCTCCGGTGACTGAAGACGCTGTCATCGTAAAACTGGTCGCGGCAGGGGAGAACTTCGGGTCTTCGTTAGATTGTTCCAAGTCTTTGGGTCGCAGGAACGGCGGAGGCGTATAGGAAGACGGCGTTGTAAGCTGACGAAGACAGTTGGTTCAGGCGAAGAAATACTGAGACACAGCTGCGACCCTCCCCTAGATCAAAGGAGGGAGCTTAGCGAGTTCGGGTGCATCTGCAGTGGTTAAATGCGGAAGAAAGCATTCGTGTTCCCCTGAGAATTATGGTGATGAGGGCAATGGACCAAATATATCCCCGAAGCAACCGGCCAAGAACGATCAGGAGGCGGGGGGTCTGCTTGATTTCGCACGCAGGCTGCAGCCTTCCGCGCCGAGCTTAGCCCGAAGGGTTTCTTTCTGGAATGGGGCAGCTCTCTCTCTCACACACACACCTGCAACATGACCATGCACACCCATTTGACCGTGCCATAATGCAGGCTGTGCTGGGGGCTGGGTAGGGTGAAGGGTTTGTCTGACGAATGATTCGCTCATGGAGGGGGATGAAGGGGAAGGGGGTGGACAGCAGCAGGCTCTCATGAAGAGACTTATGAGCACTCAGGGCACACATCATTGTTGTCCCATCCGCAGGTGCTCTCGAAGATAAAAGTCTGGCTGAATTCCGCCAAACAGTTATGAGCTTCTTGAGTTCTCCGATAACAAGCTTCAGGGGCATCAACATTGGATTTTCATTGCCGTCGTTTTCCCTGTCCAAGATGCAATCAGACCAGATGCAAGGCCCATTCTCCTGGGACTTTCAACTCGATACGAAAGAAGCGGGTCGCGAGTTTCACCGCAGAAACGACGGTCGGGAAATCCAACGCCCAGATATCGTCGACGATTGTTGCCGGGGCCTGCTGCTCCAGGCCCGGATAGACCGTATCATTCATGGGCACGAGCTGAACGGCACTGGCCCAGCAACTCTGATAATCTTCGGGTTTCGCTTCCATGGACTTGATGAGGATCGTCGCTTCAAGCAAGCAAGGATAATCATCACATTCCAAGATGAAGAGAAACAACACGGAAACGACCCAGAAGTCATCACCCTATGGCCAAATGGCAATTTCACGCTTGGAGAGCCACTGGAAGTTGAAGTCGAGGAGAGCAGCGGCGGCGAGGCTGGAGTCAATGTGACAGGAGGGGCTGGCATTCAAGGTGGTGGTCAGGTCCTGCGGAGGTGGGAGCGGAAGATAGGCTTCAAGAAGTCCATCGACAAGATCAGTTTGACCGGATCCATTATGCTCGACACCGATATCCGCGAATACGGAAGAAACAACGCCATACGTATTACCATAAGCGAGAGCAAAATCGCCTCGCCTGGTATTGTGACCGATCTGCGAGCTGCTGTCTTACTGAGGCGCCAGTCTCTAGACGACACTTTCCTTGGCACCATCAAAATGAAGGCCGACGCACACTTTGCGTACAACGCGTTAAGGGGAGCCCGTGCCATTTTCGGCGGCTCCCCCCATAATGACCCGATCATCTTCAAACCTGGTGTTCAGTACCTGCGACCCAAGACACTTTCGGGTGTGTTGGAAGACAAGTTGGCAGAGCAGGTCGATGAAAGAAACCTGGGAGGTGTCGCGATTGAAGGTCTGGCGGGGGTGCTGGGAAGTACCGTTCTTCCGAATTGAACCCGGGTCATTCGTTCCGAATGTAGATAGCAGAGTAAATTGAGCTGATGGAGTAATAATTTCCAGGCTCGGCTTGATGCGGCCAAGCAAATAGTCTCGAAGGTGCTTACTTTGGCTGATAAAAAAACACGCAAGGCTCCGGTAGATCGGGTCCCTAATTCAGGTTTATCGCACTGCCCCGTGGTCGAGAGGGTGTGGTCGCGGCAGGCTGGCATGCGGGCTGTATCACAGCTGACCATTTCACATTGATCACTATGCCAATTTTATCGAACATGGATGGCAGGACTTATCGCTGACGGGGGAGCCCAATGTTTTCCATTTTTTTGTTTGCGGTCTCTTCTTTCATCCCCGCCACGACATCGAGAATTTGAGAACATAGCTTCGGACACCCTTACATTGGAAGCATGAGTAGCAGGCATGGCCGAACTGAACAGAAGCAAAAGTGACTCTTATTCAGAGAGTGTTTCGGACCATGATGGCCCACAAGACGTGCATGTCGCCCCGAAAGCCTTTAGGTAAATCCAAGCCACATAACGAACCTCACGTTGTTTGGGCTGACCGCGTTTACTAGAATCTATCTTGTGGGCTTTCCGGACCAGCCTGAGACCACTTCCGCAACGACGCCTTTGACAGACACAATACCAAGTCTAATTCCAGAGGCACTAGTGAGAAAACACAACATCTACCGCTACGACGCTGCAGGCAGGCCACGAATTCAAGCGGACGAGGATGGGGGCAACTTCGAATCGGAAGCATGCGAGAAGCTAAAGGAAACTTCAAATTCCAGAGGCGATGGGGAAGACAACACCGATGCGACCTCCTCTTCTGAGTCAGGCGACACCGATCATCAAGTTGAAGGCGCCACTCATGGCGCGAAAGAAGCAGATTACTACGAGGTGGTCAATGACGACGTGCAATCTACGACAAGCTTTTATGACTTGTCATACTCTCGATCTTGGATCGAGAAGGAAGCACTTGATCTTCTAGATAGGATACAACGACATGGCTCGAAGGGGACAGAAAGTGGAAACAAAGTGGTTTTAGCTGGCTTTGGCCTCGGCGGAATTGTGGTCAAACAGGTACGCTCTCTCTCTGTGTAATGTGAATGTAGTTATGTTGAAAACATGTGCTTAAGTTATACATAGGCCATTGTCATCGCGAACACGGCCCCTAGATTCTACGATGTCGCGTCAAACGTCACCAGACTGCTGTTCTTTGCCACTCCCCACGATCCGAATCAGCACTCTTCATCGGACCGTTCATCAACCCAACTCACCTGGCAACACGTAATGACTAATCTGCTGGAGGTAACGGACATCAAAGATACTGGGAGGTTCTCGCAGCTTCTCTCCAGTCTTGTCGAGTCTGTATCCCAGCTATCGCACAGCTATTACAGATTTGCAGCAAAATATCCAAAGACTGATTTTGTACAAGGCGTGAATGACGCCCTCGAACAGAATGAAACGCCTTCAGATACAAAGGTTACTATTCGTTGGCCAAAACGAGGGTCACAGAATGGGCTCGCGATCTGCTCGGTTAATGACTTGAAGGAGTTGGAAATACTACGTGAGCATTTCGCGCCTCGCGAAGTCCTTTGGGACTATCTTGGTATAGAACCTGTTTCGCCTTATACTGTCCTAGCCTGCCTAACGCGCGTGCCCAGAAACCCACAAGCAACATCACCAAGACACGTCCCCGACCATCAATGACAACATCGGGACGTATTTTGACGCACTCCAGTCGCTTTCCCCTTCCAGATGGATCCTGTACGAAGGCCCCAACATAGACAGACCCAATGACTTCAACGATCTGGATACTATCTATCAATCAGTTGTGGATAAGATTTCTTGGGACCAGGTTCGTGGGGGCTTCATAAATATTTGCGGCCCATCCCGACACGGGAAGTCCACGCTTGTCCAGTTTATCTCTCAGAAGCTTCGGGAGCAGTCGTCGGTAGTCACAATAGACAACCAAACGATGGCATCAGAAGGACGTCAGCCAACCCTATATGGGGTCTTGGTCTCCTGCATCCATCAACTGCTGTCGCAAAAACCTTCCCTCTTCGAGCCAGTAATACCTCTGATGGCCGAGATCAACAGAAACGATGCCTGGACGGAAACAAACCTCGAGAGTCTGCTGTGCTCCATGTTTCTTCATTGCCGGGCGATTGACTTTTTGATCGTTGTGCACGATCTTGACGTCTGGGAAGCTCCAGTGCAAGACTTTTGGCTGCGAATGCGAGACAAGCTGGCGGCGTTACCCTCCGCTGGCACATGCACCTTTCTCATCAAAAGCCGCACGCCTAACGAAAGCTTCAACTCGACGAAACGCTGCGAAGTAAATCTTGGCGAGAAGCACCAGCGCTGCCGTCGCCTTTTGATCACGGCCAAGACAAAACAACTGCTGGATTTTGACTACGGCTCAACTTTCATCAGTGAAAGGCTAGTTGAGCATGTGGAAAGTCAGGTCATACAGTCTGCTTCAAATTTTGACGGCTCCTTCTCCGCCGTCACGGCCTATCTTGAATACTTGCTACAGAAGACCGGAATCAGCTCAATCCAACATATCGAAGAGAGCATAGCCAACGGCCCGCGAAGCCAAAGACAGCTATATGAGAAGTACATTGAGCGGCTAAGTGCCAGAGAACCTTCCACTGTCTTCTGGGCAAAGTCGACAATGTCTTGGATTCTCTTGGCAGCCCGAACGTTCCGCATCGAAGAGCTCGCAATCGCTGTTTCGATCAATCTCAGTCAGTCAACAATGTCTGACATCCAGAGAACAATTTCCATGGATATGGAGCGAGATATTCGAAGCCATCTGGGTGGGCTTGTATCCATTCAAGCCCGTCACGTTCGCATCGCCAGCCCGTCAGTTGCAGAGATTTTGCTCAGCGGCGAGCCCGGTGCAGGTCTTTGGCCCGAAAGCCAAGGAATGTTTGCACAGCTTTGCCTGCACTATTTGAAGGTAGTCCTTGGAAACAGTGCTCCGGAAACGTGGGATAAATGTTTGGCGCTAGCATCGCGACGGCGTAGGTGGTCACCCGTCCAGGCCGGAGACTCGATTTTGGAGTTTCTAGACTACGCTTGTCGATTCTGGCCAACTCACTTCCTCGCCATGGAGAATGAAGACGACTCCCTCCGAGATGCTGTTATTAATTTCTTCCGGACAGAAGAGGTGTCTCAGAAGTGGTTTCAGCTGTATGTTTTGTTCAGTGCCGAGTCTAACGGCGGGGCGACGACCGAAGCCTCCGAGGGTGACACCCAGTTCAAGAGCCGACTGCTAGAACAGTACTTCTTCGCCGACTCTCGTACACAATTTCAGCTATCACCCGCTCGTATGGCTGGGTTTGTCGGGCTCAAGTCCGTTGTTTCCGCACTTCTTGAAGGGGACATGGAGCAAAAGGGCAGCACCCTGGAATTGGCCCAGTTTCGACGTGGCTACTTAGAACACGACATCATTCTCTGGGGAGATCAGACCCATATCAAATTTCATTGCGCAGTGTCTAGGAACGATAAGAGCGTTGTCGAGAGATTGTTCCAAGATGACCCCGAAGTATTCAAAGGTCTCTTTCCTCTCCACAGGGCAGCTTTGGCGGGTAACTTTGAGATTTTCCAGCTTCTCTTCAAATCATATGAAGTACCTTCGGATTCTGTTCTGGAGGGGCGGTCTATTCTCCACGCGGCTGCGATTAGCGGCCATGTGCAAATTGCTCGGCTAATTTTGGACGGAGACACGCCCAACGCCCCCGGCTTCATCGACATGATGGACAACAACAATCAAACAGCCTTGATGATTGCTGTCAGAATGGGAAATATGGACCTGGCAAAGCAGCTCATTGCGGCCGGTGCACAACTCTGCATTGGTGACTGTAGTGGTAAAACAGCATTGCATTATTCCATCCAGCATTGCCCGCAGATTGTTGGGGATATTGTGAGCGAGGACAGTAGCCTGACGTTCTCCCAGGACGAAGTAGGGTGTACGCCATTACATGCTGCCGCTTGCTCGGGGAGCATTCAGACGACTGAGATCATGCTCGCCGCTGCTAGGGAAAAAGACCAACTCGCGGAGTTGATCAACATGAAGAATAGCCAAGACTTCATGGCTCTTCACCACGCCGCTGAAAGAGGATTCGACCTCGTCTGCAAAGTTCTTATTGAGGCTAGCATTGAGGTCGATGCTTATTCAGGCGATGCCAGGACAGGCGCTGCATTGCTGGCTTCCAAGCATGGCCACTTAGCCAGCCTGAGAAGGATATTCCCCGAAGATTTAGAAGACGGAGATCAACTACTCTTGGAAGCAGCCAGGGCAGGCCAGATGCTCATCGTCCAGTACCTTCTCAAGACCGGCGTTTCCGCAGACGGACCGGAAGAAGCAGCCAAGACGCCGCTCTCCGAAGCCGCCGCCCGAGGACATCGCGATGTTGTGCGCACTTTGCTGCGTTTCGGAGCAGACGTGAACCTGCAGGATGCTCAGCGGCGGACCCCATTGCACTATGCCGCAATGGCTGGGATGCATGAGGTCGCAGAGATTCTTCTCAACCCTGCTTCCGTCGACGCAAACGAGACAAACATTGATGCGCGAGACTTCCAGCGATTCACACCTCTTCACAATGCAGCCCGCGGAGGGAATGAACGAATAGTTACTCTGCTACTGAGGCACAATGCATCTGTAGACGCTAGAACGACCTCGGAGGAGACTCCATTACATTTCGCGACCCGATTTCCCGAGGTAGTTCACCTGCTACTGAAGCACCACGCATCTGTAAACGCTCGAACGACCTCAGAGGAGACTCCATTACATTTCGCGACGCCAGTTCCCGAGGTAGTCAAGCTCCTCCTGGAAGCACACGCTGAAGTGAATGCCGTCGATGTTCTTCACCAGGCACCTCTGCACATGGCAACGCGCAACCAGTGTCACCAGTCGGTGCAGATGTTGTTAAAAGCAGGTGCCGATGTTCGCCTTGCCGATGACGATGGTGGCAAACGGGCTGTGTACCATGCCATTGAACATAAAGACCTCCCAATGGTCGAGGACCTTTACAAGCTTGGAGACCGGCCAACTGAAAAGGAATACTTAGACGACATTGCACACGCGGTGAAATGCTCCGCCACTGATGTCCTCAGGTTCTTGATAAAGGATTGTGGGAACTCGATCCACACGAAGAAGGTTGGCGATGATCAAACATTGTTGCACGTTGCTTGCGAAACGATAGACTCGCCTGAGATTGTATCGTTCCTGATCGAGTCGGGGCTGGACGTCAACTCCCTCAGTGCGAGTAAAACCCCATTGCACTTGGCGGCGGCAAGTGCCAAGATTGACAGCATGCTAGAGCTTCTCAAGTATGGTGCCGATATCAATATGCTCGATCAAAACGGCGACGCGCCCTTGCACTTGGCAGCGCAGAGCGGCTCCGACACCGCCGTTCGTATGCTACTCGAAAAAGGCGCCCCCGTTGATGCGCGGGGGTTTGATGGGGAAACGCCGCTCTTTTGTGCCGTTACCGGCGGCCACATCGCCGCCTCTAGGGCTCTTGTCGAATCCGATGCCGATTGCAACAAACAGACCGACACTAATCGCTGGTCAATTTTGCACGCCGCCAGCTACCTGGAAAGTCCGGAGCTCTTGAAGTTCATTCTGTCCCGGGAGGTAGATGTGGACCCCAGGAGTACTAATGGAGGATGGACACCCCTTCTAAAGTCGATCGATTGTAATCGGCTTGAGAACGTCCGACTTCTTCTCGAAGCTGGGGCCGATCCCAACGTTAAATATGACGAGGACAGCACTTCGCTACACCTGGCTTTTGAGAAGAACAATTTCGAAATCACTCGTGCCCTTTTGAGCCATCAAGGGAAGTGGCCAGTCCAACTTCTTATCACAAGGAATGGTTACTCGTTCATCCACATTGCGGCGGAAACATGTAGCAGGGAAATTGTCCAGCTTCTACTGGAAAGTGGAGCAGAATACACGACCAAGACCACCGACGGTTCCTCCTGCCTCACACAGGCGGTCAAAGGAAAGCATGCCGACAACCTCAAATTGTTTCTCAGCAGGGAGCCCCCGCTAGACCCGCAGTTCAGATGGGAAAGCCAGGACATCGAGGACGCATATTGGTTAGCTGTGTCATTGAACCAGACGGAACTTGTCGGTATCATACTCGAGTATGACGACTCTTTGGAATTGCTAAAGAAGGAGAACAAAGATGGACTCGACCCGCTACAATTAGCATTGCAAAGTGCCAGCCCACAGTATGATTTTGATGGCATGGAGGAACCGCTTCCCGTTGACTTGGTCAACCGTGGAATTGACCCATGGGGTAGGAAGCCACTTGATAGGCCATCGAGGTTTGTACAAGGACTCGCTTTCAACGGCCTTCGGCGCAAAGGCTTTGTTGAAGCCTGCATCAAGGCTTTCCCGACCGACCCTCAGCAAGCAGGTTTAGGATTCGAAGAGCTGCGAGCTGCTACGGAGATTGACAACTCTTCTCTTTGGGAAAAGCTCTCGCCGCTTCTGACACAAGTCGAAGACGAAACAGACCAAGATGACTGGAACATTCATCACTTTTTGAGCCAGAGTGCACGCAGAACACTTTTTGCTGGGTGTCATCAAGAATCGGCTGAAATGATCACAAAAGCGCCAACAGCAATGGTTAGGGCAGACATGTCCATAGGGTCTGATTCCGAGTCCCTCGTTCAGATCTCAGAAGACGGACTACAAGTTGTCTTTTGTAAGTGTCTTGGAGCCTCCAAAAAGCGCCATTCTATGTTTGTGGACACCGACGCTGATCATGTATAGCCGGAACGAGCGCGGAGAGCTTCGACATTTTGTCCATCCGCGCTGACCATCCTCTCCCACCCAGAACTGTGGGTAGATCATATTTCGAGGTTTCAATCGATGCCCCGAAACTTGAAGAACCGCGTAAGGATCCAGTTCCTGTTGAGGACCGCAAGAATGAGGAGGTATCTACTGAGCCTGTGGAGACGAAATCCGAAGACCCTCCCGAGCCCGAGCTTGCTCCTAGTCCTTCGACATCAAGCCTTTCCAGTTCAAGCTCCCAAGAATCCGTTTCCGTAAATTGGTGCGTCTCGATAGGACTCTCTGGCACGTACGCATATCTTCCACGGTCCCACGTGGGATGGAATTCCTGGACGGTTGGCTATCATAGCGACGATGGATACATCTGTGAAGGAGGAGATGAGGGCTACACCAAATATGAAACAGGGAGTCCTTCTAGTCCTGACAGCACGGTGGGATGCGGGGTTGACTATGACAGTGAAGAGTATTTCTTCACCTTGAATGGGAAGGTGGTTGGTACGAGCACTCATTCCCAAGTTATCCCTCTCGCGTTTTTGAGGCCGTGGAAACATACTAACGTATTTGAGCAGGCCGATACAGAAGCCCAATCATCTTTCGCAAGCTTTATCCTACCATCGCGCATGGCGGTACTCAAGTCAAACTAACAGTAAACTTTGGGCAGACGGATTTCATGTGGTCGGAGGTGCCAGGGCTCAAGGAAGACGAAAATAACCCGCCTTCCCCAGTCCTCGAGAGAAGGCCGACAGGTTCTTTGAAAACATAGAAGATGGCGGAGAGCCAGCAGATGATTGTCGCTTCCTCTCCTGGTGGGTGTTTTCAGTTGTATGGCACTGGCTGCTTGGTCTAGCCTGGAAGGTTGTATGTTGTGTCATGGGGACTTCATATACGTATCAATGATATTTACAATGTCGTTTCAAAAGTTTCCGGTTATCAGTGTGTGGCTTTACAACTCTCGCAGGCTCTATCTAAGTTCCTTTGGCTGCTTTCCATGACATGTGGCCGCGTGTCAAAAATCCCATGCTTACTGTCGCTGCCCATACTGCTGCCCGCGATCTCCCTCCTAGCCATACCTGCTCCTGCTTCTTGCCTACAGTCGACTAATTTCTAAAGCGAAAAGCACAGGCGTGTATTGATCGATATTTTGGCATTTCAATGCGCATAAAGAAACGGATCTCGCTCTATCCCGATGAGCACTACATTGCTACGCTTTGGAATATAAGTTGAGATAATAAACAGAGCCCTTCCTAGCTAGAAGATCCCTTATAGCCTCATAATCAGAAGAACCTTCACGGCATTTACAGCCCAGAGGGCGAAAGGGCGGCAGTTCAGCTCACCAAGGCACCCCGAGGGGTGCCGCAGGTCAGGGACGCCGTTTCTGAGGGCCCCATGAATAAACGCCCTCACGACAATACACGGCTCTGCTCGTTACCCCATCGCTAAGACCTCCATCAACACTGGACTATTGATGTGTGGCACTTGGTGATGTTGGACCTCCAAGGGGAGGAGAACGTATCAACAATATACCCATGAATGATGAATCCTCATTTGACATCTTTACGGGTCACTCTTTTCTCATGGTTTTTGGTGTTTGAACTGCTCCTGGAAATACAACGGGAGACTCGCCGAAAAATGAGCGTCAATGATTGGAAAAGTGCGCAGAGTGATCACAGGAGGTAAAGCATCACAGTTCCAGAGGACCCCTCAGTCATCCAGACTGCTCGTCATGAGCACAGCCCAAGTTACCATCAACATCGTAAGATGCCAAGAATCGAATCCCGCAGCCAAGATCTAACAGTGCCTACTAATTTTCGTACTGCGCTTGCCACATGAGAGATATTGGCAGGATGCTGGCTATGCGTGTGGAAGTCAGTTTACCAGAACAAGGCTGGCGATGAATTGTGAGGGGTCAGAAAGGAGGCGAAGGAGGCAATCTCCGTGCAGCTCCGGATCTGGCCCAATGTGAGTCAAGTTCCGAGCACTCCGCACCGAAGGTTTTCGATCCATAGCCGCGCTGATGACACCCCCGCGTTCATGATAATTATCATAACCGATGACGTGCCTGGGCATTCTGTTGGAAGGAATCATGACTTGGCGTAATCTGGGGCACGAATATGATCCGGGATGAGCGACGGGCTCCGGGGGCAAGACCGACCGACCGGCGGGCGTTCGGTGGGCGGGCGGCTGAAGAAGGTGGGCGCCGCTCGGGGGCAAGTCGACCGAACCTCCCTTAGGTAGACAGACAAGCTCCCGAGGCGCACAGGCGGTGCGTAAGCCAAGTCCAAACTGCCCCTCGTTTCTCGCCGACGGCGCGACTCATGGGGCGCCTATTCTTTCTCGTAGCGCATGAGCTATTATCGTGAATGTTGCTGTCGGATCTGATGCCAAGCAGGAGGCAACCGTGTTGTCGCGATGTCGACGTGAGAAAGGAAGCCAAGGAAGGAGAAATATGGGTTCGGGGCCTTGGCGTTTCTTGTATTTGAGCTTCAGTTGCTGAGAAAGGCTGGGCGGAGTTGGGGGTCAGTGGGCGAGTATCCAGCGCTTGTAGATCTGATGCAAAGCTGATGCGATTACCCAGAATTCCAATTGTTTGCTGCTGTCATCTAATCTTAGCAACTGTCCTGGGATTTGAGACGGACCCTGAAAATATTTCGGAAACATTGAGAGAGTCCGAGTTGTTTTGTCGCATGCTATTCCCAGCGTTGCACGCAGCACGGACAGCGTATCACAGGCCAGCTGTTCTCCCATGCGCAACCCGGTTCGAAACAAGAGATAACGACCCTGGAGACTGCTAGAGTTGCGCCCTCGAAGGATACACGACAACGTCGCAAACGTACCTCTGTAGATGGCTAGCTCGATGGCCTGGCCAGAAGGCAATGCGGCATCACGAGCGTGTGGCCTTCTAGAAGCGCCTCATGATCTAGCATGAATTCTAGCGGCCTTTTCGTTGGGATGGCAGTGAGACAGCGACCGGGGCTTGCGGCTGGCTTGGAGCGGTCGGCTTGGAGGTGTGAACGCCATGTCTCGGTGGCTGGGAGTCGCTGATATGGCCCGATTGGCTGGGTGCTGCCGCATCTTATCACGACTGATGCAGTGTCGAAGGCAATTGTGAGGCCAGTGGCTGCTTACCAGCACGTGGGCGACATCCGGACCTGAGATGAGGCTCACCGCTGTTTAGTCTGAAGTTTTCGGTAGCATTTTGGTGATTTGCGAGTCGACGATCTGGACCTCGGAGTACATGTCCCATCTCGTGTTGGTGATGCCTGAATTTGGTAAAATTCAGTAGGCCAAAGGCACGGCGAATGCTAGGGTCGTGCCCGCGGCAGCATGCCGGGCTTGCAAAGGACGCCAACTAGACGGCTGGAAGGGGATCTCGAAACAACCGGGAGATGCGCCTGCAGATGTTTTGGGCGGTCGAAGCAAGGGTCTCTCGTGTGTGGTGTTGAGTGGTGGGTGGTGGTGGAAGTGGGGTGATGCGACGGCGCTGGGAGGTGGACGGCGGCAGGGCCAGGCTGGTGGTGAGGCCGCGAAAAGGACCCGGTTTGGCGAGCAGGATGGACCCGTTCTTCTCCGCAGACTCCAGAGGAAGCAGATTCGGGGTTTGGGGTTGAAGAGGAGACGACGCGTTGGAGAGGCGGGGAGACGGAGATGGGAATGGGGAAACCGTGGAGGAAGATGCGGGCGAACGAGGCGATGTAGTAATGATGGGCGTCCGGTTGCAGAGGCGAGGCCAGGGTGAAGAGCGCGAGGAGAGCAAGTTGACGCGAGACGAGATTGACGGCAGGCAGGCTGGATGGAGGGATGGTAGCAATTGTTGGTAAACCGTGAGTGGTTCCGTCACCTCGGAGAGACCAAGTGCCGGGCAAGTTGCATCTGCATCTGAGTATTACTGTACATTAGCCTATCAGTTCTAGACGAGAGAATTTGACAATTGGTCAGCTTTGAGCCTTCGAGGGACTTTTTTTCTGGTACAACTGACCAGATACCTAGCCATCAGCCATGGATGATGGAGGATCGCGTCTTGGCAAATGTCGAGACGTCGGCGGTGGTCTTCCAAGTGCGGTCAAGTCGAGGACGGGGAGTACGTGGATCGTAGCTTCCGGTAGCCACGCTGACCCAGCATGACTCAAATTCCAGTGGATGAACTGGGCCAGCGGTCCGTGGGACGGACGGGAAGAATGGCGAACGGGGGCTGCCTCGTGGACGCTGACGGGGAAGCGAATGAGTGACGGATGGCGTTTGGATGACAGCGGATTACGGTCCAGTTGGTGGTGGAGGAGAGTGGGCGTGGAGGGTCGCAAGAGTACGGGGAAGATGCGCCAGTGGCAGAAAAAGAACCGGAAGATGCCCGAGAGTCGAGGACGAAAAGTGGAGACGAGCCGGCGTCGGTGTTGCGCCCGACTGAGAAGGACCCACCGGTTGGCCGGACTTTCCTGCGTTTTCTCACAGTTCGCAGGTATTTTCCAGCGAGAAGGAACCCAGGGAAGGCAGCAAGCACCGTGACCTGGGGAAAGTGCAGCAGGTAGGGACGGTGCGACGGGCGCGAGACGGTGGTTGGCCAAACGGAGGAAAGCGCCACCAATGGAAGTGTCAGTGGGGGTGGGCCTGGGTTCCGACGGAAGGCAGACCAGCGCAGCGAGCTGCACCATTTTCCCATTCTTTTGGTGCCAATTGCGACTTCTTCCCAGCGAAATGCACGCACGGCCGTGTCTCACCTGACGAACTCGGGGCCCCAACCCGCCAGCAGGTCACTGGTATCCGTAAATGAGAGGAGACCTAAGGCAAGTGGAAGCTCTGGGGAATTGGGACTGGACTGGACTGGACCTGGACCTGGACCTGGAACTGGAACCGTCTGCTGATGATCCATCGATAATCCATCCACTGACCATTGACATCTGCAACAGTGCGCGAATTTGATGCCCAAAGCAGCACCGTCATTGGCCAAGACCTGCCGACTCTCGCAGTGCTAGTGGCCCTCCACTACCAGAAGGCCACCACGACCGGCAGCCTAGCTGTTAGCATCAGGCCACAACCAGCGTTAAGCTTAATTCCCCGACATCCTCTGGCCCTCTCTGGTCCTTTCTTTTACGGTGGACACATGGAGCACTAGCGCCGACGACCCCGTTTACCCCGTGGAGGAGGAGGGGGATCGGCTGTCAAACTTGTCAAAGCAGTTCGTTTGATCTCGCGAACCGCTCGATTGGAAGCGCGCGAAACGACGCTGCCATTTTTCAGTAATGGTTTTTCAACTTCACGCGATGGCTCCCAATCGACGTCGACGTCGTTGAGAGTGCGGCGACTTTGCTCGCAGCGCCGAGCAGCTTGGCGTAACGGGATGGCTTGCCGAGAAAGATACAAGCACTTTCTTGGCAGAGTCGCTGTCCGTCGTGTCTTGGCCTACGTTGGAGGAAGACGCCATCCCTGCACTTTGCTGGCATTCGACGGTGCGCTACGGAGGATTCCTCGCCTTGGGAGGGAGAATGACCACTTGAGATGCCACCCACTGCAGCGCACACCTCACCTCCCTCAAGGCACTTGACTCGGCACGGGCAGACAAACGGAATGGACGATGGGGGCGGTAGGCACGAAGCACCCGCTGCTCTTTCCATTTCGCGCCCCTCGAGCTATCCTTCCAGAAGCTCAAAGGAAGGCACGGAAAGAGGAAGGAAGAGCAGGCGTGATCCCGTTTGGCTGCATCCAATGCCCTCCTTCTCATCTTGATCGTTCCTTCCCTCGTCAACGCAGGAAAGAGGCATGTACGTACCGACCCGTGCCTGCCCTTCCATCACCATTGCTCTTGCCATTTGCGCAATGGGCAATAACTGACTGACTGGTCGTCCCCTCCTTCCACCAACTGAAGGATTCGTCGTGATGCAACATGGCCCTCATTTTCCCTCCTCCTCATCCACCTCTCCATCCACCTCTCCACCGGCCAAACTGACCAGACCCAAAAACACAGACGGCCAAGACTTTCCCCTACGACTTTGTGCGGCGCAAACTTTTTTTTTACGTTTCGACCCTCGGCATTGGCTTTTTCTTCTCCCCTGGCGTTTCTTTTCCACCTGGCCCTTATCTCCGTCGCCGCCACGCTACGCTGCTTTGGTCGCCGTCGCCGCGACCCCGTTGCTATTCTCAGCGTCCCAATCGCACCTCTTGGCCTCACCCAACCCCATCCGTTTCTTACACGACTCTTACGCTCGAGATACCATACCGCAACGCAATCCAACCCTCTCTCGACATCGCGATGGCGTCTTCTGTATCAAGACTTCCTACTCTGGGCCTATTCTAGGACACCTTGCCTGCCGCTCTGCACGCAGCCCGAAACCGCCGACGAAGACGGCCACGTGTGTTACCTTGTACACCCACGCCGTCATCATGTCTCTCGCCAACGCGGGTTGAGGCCCATCAACCAAAGAAATCGAAAGGAGGTTGCAGCAGATAGGGTGTTTGGACGGCGATTCCTAGTGGACTTTGCGCTGCGTTCGATCCCGTCTCGGCTGTCATCGCATCTCACCTTGCCGCAACGGGAGAAGAGTCAGTCATCCTGTGTTACTGCGAACACACACACACCCTAGTACAGCTGTGCAAAGTGCAAACAAACGGCATGCTGCTAGGACCGTGGTTCGCACTTCAAGCACTTGGAGTGATCCGCCGGAATGAAGGCCGTCTCCCGCACGCGTGACATGCCGTAGAGGTATTCTCTCGCGCGCTTCGTATGCAATATCCTGAGCCGGGACGCCACCGTCTCGTCAACCATCATGATCCCTAGCTCCAACACTACCGGCCTCCCTCCCCCTACCTCCCCTACCTCGTCCCCAGGACCCCTGTCGTGTACCTCCGTCTCCCTCGTGCTTCGACAACGCCAAGGCTTTCAGCTCGCACTAGCAGATGCATCTCGTTCTTCCACACACCTCCAACAGCATCCCCTCACATCCTCCCGGCGCTTCTCCTCACTCCTTTCCCCCCGACCCCGCATCGTCAGCTCCGACCTCCCCACGCATCCACGAAAGACACTGTCTCCCCCATTGGCCAGCCTGTCTGCAGTACTATCACGCTGTACTGCACCGTTCCATCATGGGAGATGATCGCTCTCGAAACCGTGTTCGAGTCGGTGCCATCCCAGTCATCTTGACCCTCAACATTGGGCCTTCTTTGTCTTGTCCCTAGCTTTCCCCTCGAAACCTCTATCCACCATCCCCATGTCTGATGAACTCTTGGCACCGACTCAATGGATGGTCTGGTGATTCGTCGAGGCCCCCAGCCTTTCAAGCAGGGAGCCAGCGAGCATGCCTCAAAGTATATAGAACGATGGTCTGTCCCCCTCATCTCAACTTACTGAACTCAGTCAACAGTGCCACATCCTCCTCGTCTTTTCTTGTCTCTACAGTCTTCTCTTTCATCCTTCCACATACACAACAGAAAACACAGACTTGAGTAACAGCCAGACATATCAGCCATGTCCAACGCTGAGCCCGCCGACCCCGTCGCCAAGGGTGTCCTCGCTACGGCCAAGCAGTCCTGGAAGGATCTCTTCATCTGGAAGCAGCGCACCGTTGTCGTCGCTCCCGATGGCGAGACCACTACCGAATGGGTCAGCCCTGATCCCATCAAGAACCCCATCAGCTTGATGGCCCAGCTTAGCGCTCGCGACTGGCTGTTCTTCATCTGCGGTTTCTGCGCCTGGACGGCCGATGCCTTTGATTTCCACGCCCTCTCTATCCAGACCACCAAGCTGGCCAAGTACTACGACCGATCAAAGACGGACATCACCACCGCCATCACTCTTACCCTCCTCCTGCGATCCGTCGGCGCTGCCGCCTTCGGACTCGCTGGTGACAAGTGGGGTCGCAAGTGGCCCATGGTCATGAACATGATCATCCTCGGTGTTCTCCAGATCGCCACCATCTACAGCACAACCTTCCAGCAGTTCTTGGCAGTCCGCAGCTTGTTCGGTCTGTTCATGGGAGGTGTCTACGGAAACGCCATTGCTATGGCTCTTGAGCACTGCCCGTAAGTTGAACTTCCCTGATATCCCGAGCATCTCGCTAATAAGCTTGCAGTTCCAACGCTCGTGGTCTCATGTCTGGTATTCTCCAGCAGGGCTACTCCTTCGGCTACGTCCTCGCTGCCTGCGCCAACCTCGGCGTCGGTGGTGGCACCGACACCTGGAAGACCGTCTTCTGGATCGCCGCCGGTATCTCCATCGCCGTCGGTCTCGTTCGCGTCCTCTTTCCCGAGTCCCAACAATTCCTTGAGGCCAAGGCCGCGGGCAAGAAGGATGCCTCTCCTGGCGCCTTCTGGAGGGAGACCAAGAAGATGTTGGCCCAGGAGTGGAAGATGTGCGTCTACTGCATCATCCTCATGACCTGGTTCAACTACTACTCCCACACTTCTCAAGACTCTTACACCACATTCATGATTGCTCAGAAGGAGATGGCCAACGACGGTGCTTCCCGTGCCTCCATTCTCATGAAGGCTGGTGCTTGCGTCGGCGGTACCATCATCGGTTACCTGTCCCAGTTCTTCGGTCGTCGCCGCGCCATCATCGTCTCGGCTCTCATCTCCGCTTGCCTCATTCCCGCCTGGATTCTCCCCATTGGCGAGCGCAGCCTCAGCGCCAGCGGTTTCTTCATGCAGTTCTTCGTCCAGGGTGCCTGGGGTGTCATTCCCATCCACCTGAACGAGCTTTCTCCCCCTGCCTTCCGTTCTTCCTTCCCCGGTATCACCTACCAGCTCGGCAACATGATCTCGTCTCCTTCTGCGCAGATCGTCAACGCCATCGCTGAGAGCACCTTCGTCACCGCACCCTCCGGTGACAGGGTCGAGGCCTACGGTCCCGTCATGGGTATTGCCACGGCCATCATCGCCCTCGGCATTGTCTTCACCACCATGTTCGGTCCCGAGCGCCGCGGCCGCAGCTTCGAGCACGCCGTCGCCGGTGTCCAGGGCGAGTTCGAGGAGAAGAAGGTCATTGACGAGCACGACGAGGAGAAGGGCAGCATCCACGCTGACAACGTCGAGAACGTCCGCAAGGAGGAGGCTTAAGTGTCGCTGCCGGGATCGGCGACTGCAAAGCATGTCAAGATATATACAGCATATGATTTTTGGTTTTTTGGAAAACGGCAAGGGAAGGCGACAAGGCCTTCGCCGGCTGGATGCCGCACAATACCCCATGGAACAGCGCGATGAAGTCTGAATGATCTATTTGAACGAATATAAAATTGTTTTGATACCACACATTTTCCCATTTCGCACCTCGTGATTGACATAGCTGATGTTGCACAACACTATTCGAACAAGCTTTCACTGGTCGCGCCGACGCCTTGCCCAGTGCTTGGCATGAAGCTTGGTGATGGTAGCACGAGCACTACAAAGTCTTGACTTTCGGGATCTTAGTCATCGGGCTTCTTGGTGTCTTGGTGGCTCGTCGCGATGCCCACTTTGCCCAGACCTTCAACGCTCTTCTCCACTAGATGCAGGCAACCCCAGTAACCGGCGGTCGGCTACTCGCCGCTGCTCGCCAACTGCGCACGACTCTCATCAACAGTCGGCTTCGCTCGTCTGTTCAACGAAATATTGGCCTTGGCATGCAAACGAAAAATTTTATGGTTTATTAGACCAATTATTTGCAATCATTGGACACTACCCACATCCCGAGGACGCCCTCTAGCCAAAGTTGACAATATCAAAATTGACCACGCCACGCCTACAGGGGTCATCGGTGTGGCGTTTTCCCATGGATCACGGGACATCAAAATTTGACGAGAACGCTTTTACGTAGACGTCGAATTACTCGTAGAAACATCCTATCGAAGCAAGTCATTGCCTCTAGGAGGTTCTACGGAGGGCTCATCGACAAAGAAGTCACACCACCAAAACTGAACACATTACCACTCCCGCGATAATCACCTTACTTTCCCCAGAATGGGGCGGCGTGGGGAATTTGAAACTATTCAATGTCAAAGTTCCCTTGCCCCGAGATCTCCAATCCGGGGCGGGTTTCTTTCATGTATGGAGAAAACCGCCCTGCATGCATTTCAGCAGGTTTTTCTCTCGATCCCAAGACCACGGATGGACCAGACGAGACGCGTCGAACGCGCGGGTCTCTCCCTCTTGAGATAATACTCGTACGATGGGCGGGACGTGTGATGGGGAACGGGAGGCCTGTTTAAGCGCCCAGGCTCAGGGCTGGCGTTGGCGTTCAAATGTTTTTTCAATGGGTCCGGCCAGGTCCACGTCCACGTCCGCCCCGCCGCCGCCGCCGTGCGGTCTTGCCCCGTATCCGTAATGCAAACCTGCGGGGGCGTTAACCCCCATTGAATCCAGACCGCGCGCAAAAAAAGTCCTGTGCTGTGGAGGGAGTGCGGAGGAGATGGGTGCGCGGGGAGAAGACCGCGCTCTTGGTATTTCATCGTGGGGTAAGCAGAAACCTGATGTGAAGAAGGGACGTTCGGACAGAGACCGAACCCGAGGGCTTGGGACTTGGCGATATTTTAATTTGTGGTTCTTGCTCCTCCTCCTCTCCCTCCAAGATTGTCTGTTTCTCATGTTGGCGAAATTTTTTCTTTGTTTACCTAGTTTGGATCTGGACGGCGCAGGGGAGGAGGTGTCGTGAGGAGATTTGGGGTTTGGTGTGGGCCGCGCAGCTGCGAGGAAGATGCCTTCCTTCACGGAATGTTATGAATTTCAGGGGTCTGGGGAGCAGGAATTTGGAGTGCGGCCTTGTGGTCGGTAAACATGTTTCCCGGGTGGGAAGGCATCGTGGTCAAAAGTTGGTCTTGGTTGATCTACCTCACGAATGATTTGAGACGGTGAACGGCGCAGCCACGTCGCCGCTCAAGTCGACTCAAGACCCCAAGTCTTCCTGTTGGACAAGTCCTTGATTCGTGTTCAAGAATTGAGGAGACAAGTAACTTGCACTGGTGTTTTGGTAAGGGTCTGTATGCACAATGCACTATTTCCACCATCCCCCCGCCCCTTGTTGAGGGAAGTAAGCCCTGATGGGGTGCGGCTGGCACCCATGCAACGGGATGGAAGAGCGGGAATGCGGAAGGCAGAGTCGTATCCGTTGAAATCCTTTCCGGCGCATGTTGTGTGTCTTGTCCCTGAAGCCGCTTCCGAGCTCGCCCCCCTCGATGGTCTGACTTTCCCGGCTCCGGACGAGCGGGTGTAGAGAGCGGCTTCCGAGGGTTATGGGCATGATGGTCGCTGTACACACTGACTCTGCATCTGGTTTTGATGTATATGCTGGTGTTCATGGGGTTTTGGGTCGGCTGGTTTGTTTGTTGGAGTTGTTCTGTCTTTGGATGCCGAATGAGAGCAAGATTTAGATTGCTTGCCCTGTATGTTATGCTGAGAAGATTGTGTTTCTATTCGAAGCCATCTTGAACTGATTCCACGACGTTCAACTCAATAACGGCTAGGAATAGCAATTTGATAATTGGCATTGTTGTAACGTTGTGATTGCAAGCTACCCATATCAGTAAACCTCCGCACTCGTGTTTGATGGCTAGACCTGCGACCAAAACGACTTATCCAGTGAGTTTCAACTTCCACAATCGATGCTGTGAAATGTCATCAGCTACATCGGCCACCCTCACTAGCACAGGACACCTGCGACCTGCGGCAAAACCACAGGCCCCAACCAGCTTAAGCTTCGACGGTCCTATATTGCTGATTTTACAAAGAGCGGGATAAAATATCCGTCAAACTTGGGAGTTGAAGGGCCCAGTCATGACGGTAACGGCGTTGCAGGGGTGTGGATGAACATAGGCACTCAAAGCGCTGTCATGGTAGGAACCTGAATGTGGTATTTCGGTTTCCAAGTTTGCATCTAACACTGTACCTCCGGGATTAGTTCTTCCTATATCAATGCTCTATCTCGGCTTTTTCCTTTTGGGCGAAAGGATATTTTTCAAAGCACTGCAAAGCCCACATTCAGATGCGTTTGCAATTTCCTATATTATGTAGTCTCTCCGCTGCTGAAAATCATGTATTGCAAATCACAGAAAGTAAAACCCTCAGCCACCGTACTACAATCAAGCAGCACGACATGAGATTTCTAATTGTATTCCCGACGTGTCCCAACCCACTCGATGCCCATCCGTATCCCCCTACATCTTAGTCTCGGCTCCCGAAAAAGAAACGGATGTGTCCATCCAACGAGCACAAAAGCCGTAAACTCCCGTTGCGGTCTCGAGAAGTAGGCCGATGTAGATTCTGCTCAAGCCCCAGAATATGCGGTGGAGGTTGCATGTCCAGCCTGTTGACGCCGCCGAGTAGAAAGTGCTGATGCCAAATCTCATGATCGCAGCAGAGATGTAATTGTAAGCTCGATCACCCGTCCTTCTTTTGGCCTTAAGTGCAGTGAGACCCAGTAAGGCAAAGTGTTCCATCACTAGAGATAGAATCAGGAGTAGAGTAAAATCTCGCAGGCCTTCAACGGGCACGCAGCTTTGGTGGCCATACACCGTGGCTCCAATGAAAAGCCAGAACACAAACGAGGCTGCCAAGAGGCTCATCTGTGAGCCAGGCTCATTGGTCTTGCGTGAAGCATCGGCAGCTGGCATGGTATTTCGTGGAGAGACGTGGCTTATTTTTTCGGTAGACAGTTGAAAAGGTGTAGCAGAGAAGATGCCCGAGCGAACAGTGCTATGATAAGACGACGAACCAAAAATGCCGGTGTGTGTGTGTGTGTGTGTGTGTGTTGTAAGAAGGTGGGTTTCTCATGGATAGCGTTATATAAACTTTATCTAGAAGCCAGGCAGGCATTAGCTGCTATTGCGAACCGGCCCAAGAGCCTTCGGGAAGATTTCAGCAACTCTTTACGAGGGGTTAAGCATTAGTAGACAAAAGAACCGGTTCAGAGAGAGTCAAGCTTGGTTGTTCTATAAAGCGAACCAACAGGATGCTTGGCAGGCGGGTATTGGGTTGTCTAGTGAGCAAGATGAAACAGCCGGCATTTGTCAAGATGATTTGATAGAAAGCCGCAGAAGAGGCACATCACAATTTCATTCCTTCACGTAGGCCATGAAAGAAATTCACAAAACAAAGACCTGGATCCTTTCCTGGTCTTGATCTCTAATGAGCTGAAGATATCCACTGAAGATACCAGGCAAGGAAATTGATAGATGCACGGAAGTCAAAAGCTTGAAGAAACGATCATTTGCAAAGGACATGAAACCTTTCAGAACATGATGCAAGATAGGCCGCCATACTCAAGACTGAAGTGATGAGAACAAGGCTTTGCTATCCAGGCGGGTAGGATAATAGAATAGTGGTATCGACAGTTTTGAAAATCGAGATATAATATCAATAACGACGATGAAAATACTAAAATGAAGACAACAGCGACTGTAAAAAAGATAAACACAACGACACCAAAACCAATAATAACACTTACATAGTCACTATCTTATATATCTTGGTGGGGGCTATGAGTAACAGTCCGCCCGGATAGCAAAATCTTAGAAAAATTGCTGTTGCTGTTTGATCTCACTCCAACTATAGGTTACAGGCACTGCAAACAGCCCAGAATGCTGGCTTCTGCTACGACTCTCTCAGAAGGTTTGCGATCAACCTTAACTCGATGTGCGGCCACACAAGACCATTCCGGTTATTCATGTTCGTGCCAAGTTACATCGACGCTTTCAAGCTTTATGAATGGCATGGCGATTCCGACAACCAATCCACTGAAGAGCAAAGCAGGAGTACCGACCGAGACGACATGGCGCGTCTTTGTAGCTGAACTTCCAACGCTCGTCGTGTATTACCGGGAAATTTGAGGTTGTTCAGCTCGTAAGATTGCATAGATTGGGCGGTAGGGCATCTTGCGTGGCATTGAACAGTGCCCGCGCGTAATTGAAAATTCAGGAGAGGCATCGGACGTTCCGATCCATCTGTATGATCATCTCATGATGCATGATGACCTTTCAAATTGCAGTTTATACGGAAGCTTTTTGGCAGAGCCGCAATGATACGTGCGAGGTTGAAAATTCTCTGAACGCCTCATCAGGATAGAGGGCCTCCCAGGAGCCTCGCAAGAAACGTCTGAAATCGCGGAAGCACTGACCGTGCTGCGGCAGCCGCCAAAGTGGCTCGGATCAGTTTATGAGCTTGACAGTCTTGCTGAGATGTAGGTATTAATGGGATGCTAACGTCTGATGTTGGAAGTATTGGTGGCCTTGTTTAATTGGAGATGCTAACCCCTAAGCCGAACACCGGATTGGTTGAGATTTGCGGCATAGCCCACTAAGGATATGACCGAAGGGTAGCATTGAGTGAGCAAATGATCTCATCAAGAGCTTTCCGACGCTAACATGGCGTTCGAGTAGCAGAAATAAGCTTATGGGGTAGCCATCGGCCTGCAAGTATTGATGTCCAACATGCAGCGGGGACTGACGGGAGTTTATGCCGGTGGGATTCTATCATATCAAGAAAGGGAAAATAAAATATTCCTGATATTAGAGAACATGATCAACTTGAGGCGTGTTATACCCCTAATCTCGACTGCAATAGGGCCGCCTGACTGGAAGCCCCCTCGGGTTCCCAGAGATGAGGGGCATCTGTTGGCTCGCTCGGCAGTCATTCAGAACTCGAAGGCACTCACAACCAAGCCCAATATCACTAATCGTGTGGTATTACCCAGATGTCTTGGCCCATGCTACAATGTCTTCCCATCTGACGGGATGGTAGCACGGTCTATCTTTAGGGGGGGATGCATACACGAACACGCGCGAGCAACGAGTCGAGACCAGAGATCTAAGTTTCTTTATCTTCCAACCACAGATCGATCCGAAGGGTTAGGTGACTACGGGGTATTGCTGTCTAAGAACAAGCTTTGATGCTGTCAGCTGCCGATGCCTGACTTTATTCAGAACCTTGACCAAATTGGAAGACAACGTTGCATAGCCCACCCTGTCATTGCTTCGACTAATTAACCTCCGAGAACACGGTATAGCCGTCTCAACCCCTATGATGCAGTCGCTTTCCTCGACCCCTCCAAGAGCTCAAATGTCCGGCTGCTAGAATATTTCCATCGTTACGACCGAGAAGGATCCGAACGGCTCGCTTCGAACCCGACCCGGCCGAGTAGTTCTCACCTTATCAAGCTCTTTTGAGATAATGAGAAGTAGTAATTGCTGACAAGTGCCGCGCAACGGCGTGCTTATTAGTCTCGCAAAGGCCCCATCTCGCGGAGTTTAGAAGTGCACTGCGGTCGGTGGCATGCGACGCTAACGATGCACGGAAGCGGGATACCGCAGTAGGTCTTAGATCGAGGCGTAAGCGGCCAATCCCGAGGTATCTGCGAACCACCGGCCCGCTGCGGCCATCAAAAGGACGTGAATCAATGTCATCACACACCCCTTAGCTCCCCAGCCTCGAGGCTTAAATTGTTATGCATGAATAATCAGGTTCCTAATGCAGGGTTGTACAGGACAAATTGTTCAGACGAGGAAACGGCGAACGGACCAATTCTTCAAGAGACGTCTGGGTGACTTCACCTCCCCCCAACTCAGAACTGCCGCGTTCGGCAATAGGGGGCTGGTGCAACGTGGGGTGTTCCCGTCATCAGACGGACAACCAAGACGCCACCCGATTCCATCTTATTTTTAACCTTTAGCCCATCAGCTCTATCCCCGTAGAGGGCTGAATATGTAGGACGGGGCGAAGGGGGGGGACTCAAAGACAGTAACCATGCCGAAAGCTCCGCAAAACCTCCAGAAAGGCGGTGATTATGGACACTGCTCAATTGCGCTATTTTGCAGGCTTTCGCGGGGTTGTGAGTAATCCATGATGTCTCACTGGTTTGTGTGATTTGACCGAGGACCTTTCGTAGTACATCCACTTCGCGTAAATCGCCAGTGCCGACACAACCGGACGTGGGTCCTCTTCTTGACCGTCTCAACGCTCGCGAAGGGCGAATAACGCGTCATCGCAGAGACCACACGTGCGCCCAAGCTTCTAGACCTGGACTATTCAGGACATATTACTCTGCTTTTTTGGCACGCGGAGGTCCCGTATCACCCACATCTAGCCGTCCCGTTGCGGGCAAGACGGAGTCTCTAGCTGCACCCTGATAAACTTCATCCCGGCTGATGACATGGACTAATTGAGGGGTGGTAAGAGGGGGTTTAATCGGAGAACGGCATTGAAGAACGGGAGGCTGTCTTTGCCTTCACCGTTGTTGACGGGATGAAGGTTCATCTGGTTCAAGTTGTGAGTATAAGAAGTCGTCGGTCTCCAAGGTGTCATAGATCCAACCTCATCATCCAGTTCCAACTCACCGATGAGCAAGACACCCAATCGCCAGTCTTGGAATTATTGAGCCCCTAGAGTTCATCGTCTTCAGTCAGATTCAAGCATCATGATCAGCCACGCAGCTTTCCTCCTGGGACTTCTTGGGGCTTTGCCCATGGGATATGCGGTCCCCATGCCTCAGTAAGTTTCCCCATCGCCGTTCATCCGTCTCCGCCTCGACTAACAACCTCAGAATGGGCGATTATGGAGAAAACGACGGGCCGGTGGGAGGAATCAGCCCACCCATTCCCACAGTCACAAGCCCTACCGGAAACCTGAGGGGCGATTCGAGCCTTCTCGGAGGCAATGCCCCGCGGCCCGACCCAGACCAGTCCGACTCGGCAATCGTCAACGACCTCCAGCTCGTCCCGGGCCAGAAGGCAGACGGCAAACTCGGCCTGTACCTCAACTTCGATGGCGTCGACGTCCCGCAACCCATCCGCGGGGAACTAGGATCCCCGGATCCCGGCCCAAGTACGTAGCATCCCCGGCGGCTCCGGCGGGGTTGATGATCTGCACCTAGCCCGTAACGAGTCGACGGCCAGCCCCCGCTAACCATCGATTGCGCAGGAACGTATGCGTACGAAAAGCTTAACCCCGATCTGTTTGCCCCTCCCGGCACCGACAAGGGCGACGTCAAGAACGCCATGTGGCCCCTGGGTCTCTCGCATAACCGGCTCGGCAGCCAAGACGGAGCCGGCTGGGCGCGTCAGCAGAATTCTGATGTGCTCCCCGTTGCGTCGGCGATGGCCGGCGTGGACATGAAGCTGCAGCCCAACGCTTATCGCGAGTTGCACTGGCACACGTCAGCTGAGTGGGCTCTTGTGCTCAAGGGATGCTGCCGCATTGCCGCCATGAATGAGGATGGCAAGAGTATCGTGGACGATATCTGCGCCGGTATGATGAAGACCTTTTCACTAGTAACATGGGCATTCACTGATCATGAGCAGGTGACGTTTGGTTCTTCCCTGCCGGCGTGCCCCACAGCATTCAAGCCTTCGACCAGGGTGTTGAGTTCCTTCTGGTCTTCGACCAAGGCGACTTCAGCGAAGAGAACACCTTCTTGATGACCGAGTTGATGCTGAGAAACCCCATCTCCGTTCTCTCCAAGAACCTGAAAGCAGATGTCTCCGAGTTCGCCAACATCCCTAAGGATCAGCTCTACGTAAGTCGCAGTATTGCTCGCTACAAACCATGCAGGAACTAACGACATGCAGATTTTCAATGGAACCCCCCCACCTAAGGATATCCAAGAGCAGAACCAGACCTCCTCTGCTGGAGCTCTCACCGGGGACGAGTCCTACACCTACCACTGGTCGCAACAAAAGCCTTTCGAAGTTCCGGGTGGCTCCGTCAAGATCCTCGACCCTCTCACCTTCCCCATCGCGGAGAACTTCTCTGCCGCTCTGGTTGTTGTCCAGCCTGGCGCCATGCGCGAGATCCACTGGCACACCACTAGCGATGAGTGGAACTACTTCCTTCAGGGTTCCGGCCGCATCACCGTCTTCCAGGCCCCTGAGGCTTCCCGCACCTTTGACTTCACTGCTGGCGACGTTGGATACGTGAAGGTCGGCGACAGTCACTACATCGAGAACACCGGTACCGAGGACGTCATCTTCCTTGAAGTCCTCCAGGCCACACGATTCACGGACATCAGCGTTGCTCAGTGGTTGGCCCTGACGCCCAAGCAGGTCGTCAAGGATACTCTTGGCTTCTCGGATGCTCTCATCGACTCATTCCCGAAGGAGAAGGAGTACATCAAGGTCGGCCCGACCAACATGACGGCAGTGGCCAGCAGTGGTAAGAACTTCAAGGCTTAGTTTAGCGAATGGTATCAATTGCTTCTTACTTGATTACCGCACGCATCTCTGTTGCTGTTACTTTCGCGACGATCTGTTAGAATTCCATACCCATTTGAAGAGAATTTGAATTTGCAGGCTTCAAACATGATGTGCTTTATGTGAATTTGGTTGCGCTGAGGTTACGGCTAAAGATAGCTAAGGTGGCCTTTGCCTAATTGATGTTTTGCTCTATGTACTGATTCTCAAGCTTCGGAATTATGCCACTCTTACAAAATACCAGGTCAACTCTTCCATCACTTCCGCCATGTTTCGCCGGCTTCCCGTGGGATACGTGGTCTCCAAATATCCCAGACGGGTCAGAAGCCTTTGCTCGCTGGTTGACTCCTTGGCCACATCTTCCTCGTACATGGTGATTTCTGTCTCCCCCTTCATTTGCTTGAACACCAAGCCAACGTCGATGTGCTTGTCGAGCTTCCAGTAATCGGCGTCATAATGATACCAAACCATGTAGAGCACATTGACCGACTGGCCAACTGGGAACTCCTCGGCACAGTCAGGTCGAAAGTCGTGCACCTCTTCGTCTGAGAACCGGCCAAGCTTGTCCAGTGCGATAGTGTACTTGGTCTCTCCGTTAATACCTGGAGTTGCTGTGACAACCCCTTTCCTCAAATCGCCCTTCATCTCGAGAGTATGATAACGTCGAGCCATCCATGCAGCGAAAGGGAGCGGCTGGTCGAACGCGGTGCCCATTCCCATCTTGATTTCAGGTTTGATCATAAGACTACCACGCATCGGCAGACGGCGGTACATGTCGTTGACAACGCTGCCATTGCGTGTCGAGGCCCACGACCATGTCGGTACCAGCCAAGGCTTCTGTCGCTCCCCCGACGGACCCTTCGGATCTACGTACCATAGCATCTCTGTCTCGAAGAAGTGGTAGAAAAGACCAAAAGATGACCGGAGATGTGTCCATCTTTGGGCCACGGTGGTGATACCGTTGATAGCGAGGAACTTGTCCGAGCTGTAGCTTAGAGATAGCGAGGAGTAGTTGGAGAGAAACTGCCACCAGGTTTTGAGAAAAGGATAATACACGTCTCGGGGTCGGCTGAGATCAGTTGCCACGACCATGTAATCCCCAAACGGATCAGTTCCGTCGTCATTTGGGCCGTCCGGGTGCACACGATACAACTTAGATGGCCCCTTGCCTTCGAGAAAAACCGAAAGATTTGCAGCATGCCCAGGCAGACCTCCTCGGTAAGCTGGATAGCCATCGCTGTCGTAGGCTTCGTCGTCGAACTCAGAGCCTCGGTGATTCTGACCGTCATCCGCGAAGTGAGTTGTGTTGATTTCCATTCCGTGGGTTTCGTCATCAGATGAATCCTCGGCTTCTTCATTGCTGCCTTCATGATCATCGTCTTCAACAGCATCTTCGCTACTGTCAACGTCGATATCATCTCCCTCGTGGTTTGCTCCCTCGAGTTCATCATCTTCCGCGTCTTCTTCACTCTCTTCTTCGTCCTCCACATCTTCCCATGCATTCTCCTCCTTGGGGATAGGACGCGGCAAGCGGAAGTCTCTGAAGAAGGCAAAAATATCCTTGGGATGGGTCGGGGTTTCGTTCGTACCTGGTGCTCGTCGAGCCACCAAGCTTGGTTCCGCAAAGGAAGCATCGCATTCGCGGCATTCCCATGACAGAGAGTCCTCAGAGAATATGAGAGATCGGGGTGAAATCATCCGCTCTTGACATACCCAAGCCCTAGAATCCAAAATACCAGCGCTCTTGAGCTCCGAGTTCTGTATGCTGAGACCGGCCTCACTGTCAAGGCCATCCATCGCAACAATTGTACAGGTTGCATTGTCGTAGATGATAGCCATTCGTCTTGCTTCAGCCTTCCAGTCATCTTTGTCATCTTGGATGATGCATAGTGAATCGATCCAGATGTACGAGAATCCCATGCCGCGCGCAACGTAAATTGCCTCGCGGAAGGTCGGAGGAAGGCTTGACGTGCACATGCCTTTCTCAACCATATCGCCCAAATTTGCTTTCAGCGTGCAGCACGTTTCTTTCAATCCCCATCGGTGACTGAGAGCGACATACTTCGTATGTGGGCTGAGCGACTCGGAAAGTGACAGTCGAACAATGTCTTCCTCCTCACTTGACGGGCTCAGGGGGAACGAAAGGAGTCGAGTTGCGACCAAGCCCTCGCCCTCAAGATCTGAGATTAGGAGGGAGTTATCTGTGCAGAACACAGTACTGTGCCTGGCTGCTTTGCTGCACGACGCGTGATTTGCGGTGCACTCTTCCAGCCATTTCCTGCCTTGTGACATAAATGGCTGTAGCAGTTGCTTGGTCGAGGGAGTTGTGACCGACATTATCAAAGATGGAGCCCGAAAGACGAGGATTGCAAGATACTGAATGAGAATCTATGGTGTTGAATGCGACCGAAGGGATAACGGATCGTGAAGTCGAAGGGCCTGCCCGTGGGAGTTTTATTGAATCCACTGTTCGCCAGTTATTGCCTTTCAGCACAGCTGGGCTGATGGGCAAACTCCATCTGCAAGTTAACGGCGCTAAACATTGATCTAGGCCTTCGGGTGCAGGCAGCGAGATTCTGCCTGCATGGGCGCGTTGGGCTTGCTGACAGGTTGACTTTGGAGGCTGACTGCAAGTGCTTGCAGGCGCTAAACAACAGCCAACTTGGCGCTTAAAGAGGTGATTGAATTGCCTCAAGATTCACCGATGATGCACGGAGATTGCTGGTTTAAGACTCACATTAATGCCACTGGACGATCCATCCCATTTAAGCGCCATCATTGGAGATGTCAAGTCTTGTATTTGGCGAATCTAAGAAGTATGCTGAGTCCTGCATATTTCCACTGGTGTGGCTAACTGGACGTTAGACATCAACAGCCATAAGTCTTGCATGTGCTCGTAGCTCAGTACATCCCCGCAGTAGTACCCTCCAGACGGAGACCGGATTCTGTCTTCAAACAATAAAGGCGTTGCCTTTTTTAGATCCTCATGAAACGTCCCTCCTAGCTTCTCGATGAGCCGGCATCGCTCCTCCATATCCCTCGCGTTTTTGATCCGACCGACCCCGGCCTGCGCCGCAGCAGCAGGCTTCGCCTGCAACACCCACACGCCCCCAGCAGCGGGGTACCCTGCAATCAAAACATCCTCGCGGTATGATTTATCGCCTTCAAACGCTTCGTGAACTGCGAAAGCTTCGTCATTTTTCCAGCACTTCGCACCCAGCACGCGCATGCGCTTGCAGTGAGCATCCTCCAACATCCGGTCGATGGGCCGTAGAGTTGGCTCGAGCCGGTCAAGCTGGAGGAACGCGAGTTCCACTGCGTCGCAATTGCGGAGAACGAGGATCCCGCCGTCGGCGAGTAGACCGATGACTTTTGCGCCTGGATCCCGACCAAAGATTTGCCTGTAATGAATGTAATCCCGATCCAAATACGGGTATGCATCGGCGAATTCGTCTGGTTGCGGCTCTTCTTCTGCGGTCTCATTCATTTCTGTGCGACAAGTATCACAACAGAGAGGTGGTCGTGGAGTTTCGGTTGGGTCTGGGTGTTGATAAGGGTCTAAGTATTGATAAAAGAGGTCTTTGTATTGATGATATATGTGACCAGGCACGAGGAGATACGCAGCTATTGGGGTTGCGATAACTACGTATACAATGACAGTCAACATATCTGCTGTGTTGTGCGATGGGAGGAAATAATCGCAGTTGGTTGTTGCCTACCGTTATGTTCGCATTGAAAAGTCGGTCGGAAAGCTGGAGCCTGGTGACAACGTATTGGAACCCCTGGTAGCCAAGACACCGACCCATCTTCCAACGAAGGCTGGCAGTGTATCTCCAAGGGTGATCAACCAAACCAAAAGTCCGACATCTGCTCAATCATGAAGATGTAGCTGGCAATTCGTGAAGCTCATCGCTTTGTAAGAATGTCAGATCAATAGCAATGCCAAAGAGAAGGAAGGAAGGACACAGCTTCTGGAAATTTGAAATTCGTCACTCATTCTACCAGTATCTAGCGTTCTGGGTGGTATTGATGAGACCGTCATGAAATAAATCATGTCCAGTCTTGGGAGAAAGATGTCGAATCGCAAAGCCAGCCAATTAGTTGGGATAGTCCTTCAGAAGAATACCATAACCCTCAAAAAGAGATGGTCCTCCGGCAGTGACGGCATAAGTATCAGTGCTACCGACGTGTACGCCGTAAAGGTAGCGGTCTCCGTTCTCGTTGATCCAGAAGGGGCCACCAGACTGGCCCCCAGAAGAGTCGGTGTCGGTGACAACCGGAGATCCTCTATCACAACCAGTCGCAGCTGAAGCGGTGATGCCCTCCTGGCGATAGGGGCGTTGTCCACCCTTGTCGCCCGGGTAGCCGTAGTGAAAGAACATCGCGCGGTTCAGCTGAGTATCTGGGTTCACCACTTTGAGCCCTAGCCAGCCGTTGGCCGTTCCAGCCTTCCCCCCGAGAACGAAGATAGCCCAGTCGTAAGCATTGGCGCACCAGCCAGTCTGGCCGTAGTCGGGGCGGAAAACGACGGTAACATCGTAGCCTCCGTACGGCTCGCCTTGGTCATAGGCTGGCTGGAAGCGGGCAGACACACCCTCGCCTGGGATGCAGTGTCGGGCAGTCACCACATGACGAGACCCAATGAGTGCACCACTGCAAAAGACTCCGTTGGAATGCTGGATTCGTCCCATGGCGCGATAAGGGTAGTTCTTGTCGGTCCAAAGGACTCTGTTGTCTACCCCGATGATCGAGCGCTTGGATGCGGGCTCATTAGGCCCAGTGAAAGACGGAGGGAAGTCGTTGATGTTGCTATCTGGAACTCCGGTGATGTTCAGAGTGCGGACTTCTGGGACAATGGCAGAAACCCTGTTCTCTCGAAGGGAGGAGTCGAAGTTGGGGTCATAGCCGATGAGAGGCTTGAACTCGCTCGGGTCTGGGAGCTTGAGGTCCTCAGAGGTTGGTGCGCCGAAGACGCTGGAACCGAGGACCAAGACCGAAACGGCTGTAGACTTGACGGAAGAAAGCATGATGTTTTTGTTCGATGAACTTATCGGATGAGAAGAACTTGCAAGAAAGCCACGTCTGCTCTGAGCTATTCCATTCCGTGCAGTGATAGATGCCCCCGTTTATATGTACTTTGTTTCGACATTGGAAAGCCATCGTTTTTTGGCTCCTCCAGTCTCAATTCTGTCTGTCGTGAAGGTCAAGCTGGTGCCTGGAGATGCATTTCCTGTTGTCGCTCCAACACCTCGAATCCTTCAATGGCACTTAAACTTATTGACAGGAAAGGAGATAGTAAGCGCCAAGCCTGTAAACGATCAGCTTCACAAGGCGAATAGAGAGTCCAGACCCCGAAAAGTTCAAAAGTCGGATGTAGACAGTGAAGGTGAATAGGCATGGATTCCAAAAGGGGAAGGTAAGAGTCCGAGTCCAATGAGCCTATTGGCCCTGTCGGGATTTTGAAGCTCTGAACAGCTGAGTGAGTCTTGGGTTGCCTTGCAGGTGAAGGAAGAGGCACGTTCATGTGCATCTCAGGAGAGCCTAGGTAGAAACTTGCGTGCTTGAACGCCATTGGTTGGGTCGCTCTTCTGACTGGGACTCATTTAGGGTTCCTACCAAAGTCAGATCTAATACTACCCAAACACCTAAAGCTCCTCACCTTCTTTCTTCCTTCCCACTGCCAAGCTGCTTGGCATTATGGCATCAAGCACACTAGTGGTTCGGCAGCGATCCATATGATTTATCATGCTCATTTGGAGCATAATATTGGGATCAATTGCGGTCATTCTATTCTGGAAGATGGGAACTCGCGGAATCCCTCGGTTTGCCTGCAGGCAGGGTGCTGGGGAAGTTGCTAGTATTTGTTCAGCGTGCTGGGATACAATTGGTTAGAACTAAATCCCCTTGTTGTGTTTTCATCCTCGGTATCATGGGCCAAGAAATCACCCATAGCCTTAGACTACCTTCATACCTCGGGAAGGCAGACTGTTTTAAATCATGATATATAAGACATGTGCCTCTTAGTTTGCGATAGGGCCGAAAGCTCTCAGAGGTTAGCCCTACATACCCGTCGAAACCGGAGCTAGAGTGCTGGTAAATCTACTATTTTCGCCTTCCTTTACCAATTTATACGTGTTTATGAGTCTCTGTCACCAGTTATGCCAAATTTCCAAGTGCAGACTCTGATCCAAAGGCATTATGCTCGCAAAGACCTGTGTGGTCGGGAGCATATAAATTGTCTGCAATGTGGTTTGTACAACTTGGAGGTGGAACATACTGCTAGGCGAAGCCTCAATTGAACCCGTCAATGAAACTCCTCGTCTTCCCCAGGATTGGAAGCGGAACTGATCTCAGCGAAGAGAATACTATTGGTCACTCTTCCCTTGGGCCTGACCATCATCAGGGTCGGCTTGGAATATGTTTCTCGCCTATGTTGGCTAGAAGAGGTCTATACGCTCGCCTCCTATGGCTAGCTATGGAATTGTTCAGGCTGTCATTATTGGTATCAATTGACGTATAGCTTGCTTGGCTATTCCCGCCGAGCCGCAAGTCAGAGCTGTCTCCGCCAGCCACAACCGCTTCTCAGCCGCATAACCCAAGAGGTCCCTGGGATCTTGGCACGCACGCTTTCCTCTGGAAATATCAAACGCTTACACTTACAAATTGAGCTCTGAAAGTTCACGGTGATTGACATGGAATACTGTTCAACGGCTACATATCTTCATCAACAACACTTTACTTGCAGCTGAACCCCATGATGATGAGCGAAAGTTGCGGCAAGAAATTGCAGAATATGAGGGAGTGTTCGAAACTTTATTACATCTTTACTATCTTTGTAAGAGCTTCGAAGCGGTCGACAAGTATATATTCTATTTATTTGGTTGTCATCGGGAGTTAGTCATTCACCATGATCAATAGAGGGGCCGGACTGAAAACATCGGATACCTCACTTTCAATCTCTTCCGCTCGACACTGACGCCTATATGTTATACGACCAAAGCCGCAGTGCTCGCATGGCATCTATCGTTGGCCGCGTATTGAGGGGCCAAATGCGAAAACAGGAACTACTTCTACTCAGCTCTCATGCGACATGCTTGCCAGCGAACCAGGAATTGACATTGATGACCAGACCATCACGGAGCAGAAACCTTCATCTAAATAGACCGCCCAACCTGTAGGGACGAGCTACACAACAAGAAGAAAAGTGCCATTCAAGGGGGATTGATGACCAAAGTTGAAGACCTCAGTCTTGGAGCTGAAAGCTCGTCAGAGGTGACATTGAGTAATGCATAAGGGTCACCCAAGTTGTATTCTAATTCATTCTGGAATAATAATACAAGGAGTTTTCTGGGACTCGATCGCAATTCCGTATCCATTTAATGATCATTCCGCAAATCCGTTGTCCAATGACAAGGCCGTAGCCAGGGAGGGCTCCAGGCTAACTGGCGCACATGGTACTTGACACCAAAGTCCCTCTTTGTCCCCACCCCAGACATGCGTCATGGCTGCGACTTTTTAGGCAGCGAACAAGGCGCTTCGGGTCCCGGCCGTCAGCTTGGTTCTAACCAATTTGAGATGTCGATTCGAGGTGATAGCTTTTCTTCCGAAGCCCCCGCTTGATTCTCTGGCCACGGATCTTGCCAAGCTCGGGTATCGACCCTGTTCAGACGGCGCCAAACCTGAACAACACAACCCAGACATCTGAATATCCCGATTTCCAGACGATAGTACCACATCGCGCGATGCCCAATACCGGGAAACCAAGTCCAAATTGCCATCTCTGCCGGCAAAGGAGAGTCAAAGTAAGCCTTTGAATGTTGCTGCCTAGTCCTATGGGCATCCACATCTTTCATGCAGCTGACTCCAGATTGAAGTGTGATCTGGGCCGACCTCAATGTCAAAGATGCATCAAGTATGGAGTTCGATGTCCGGGTTATCGAGATGAGCAAGATCTACGGTTTCAACACTCGCACTCAAACACGTTTGAGAAACGTAAAAGCAAGAAACAGCGGGATAGCCCAGACCAGCCTATGAACGTGATCCAGGTGATCGCTTTCACCCCGGAATCAACGGCTTCCCCTGCATCACCTCAGTGTTCGAATGTTCCATCGACGCCACCATTGCTGAGACCCGTTCGTCAACATTGGACCGCTGAATCGATACCCCTTGTTCTTGACTGCTATTCTTCAATCAACTTTCTCCCCGGATTGTTCAAGGGGGTCCCAGACGATCATTGCTTAGTCCGCACAAGCCAAGTCTTTGCTCGTGCCTACGTCCTCAATCGCTACAGGCCCAACACCGACTATCGCGACTTATCCTCTTGTCTGGGAAAGGCGTTAGCATCAGTCTCAGCAGCCATCAATGACCCGAAGGCCCACACTTCAGATGCAACTATTGTTGCGGTGTGGTTTTTGGGTAACTACGAGGTAATCGTTAGGCGGTCCAGTTATTCGATGCTTGCTAACTTCCTGTAGCTGCTCATGGGAGGTCTCGAGAGGAGGTCTTTTTTAACCCCTGAAGAAAAGGCCATGTCTTCTTCTCCCGGCTGGTACATCCACACTCACGGTCTGATGAGCCTCCTCCGTGCAAGAGGCGATGCACAACTATTCACAAGATCCGGTCGGCAAATATTCTGGACCATGCATAACATCATTGTGGGTTTACTAGACGAATACTGGCGAAGGTACTTGCTGAAATGTGATAGCAAATCCGATGCACGACAATTAACGAGCCATGCCCACCAGAGTTTGATCATTGGTTCAAAATCATAGCGAAGACTTTGCAACCTGGCGAAGCTTTACTACTTGAAACCGGTCGTTACATTGCGGCGACATGCTCTCTTCTGTCCAAGATGATGCCCATTGCGCGTCTCGGCGATGCCCAACAGGCATGTGCTCAGTATGAAGAGCTGCTTGCTGAATGCGACAGGGCTGAACTCGCTATGTTGGAATGGATTCAATCAGCACCTCAATACCAATTTGAATCTGGGCCGGTATTTCATTACTTCTGGAGTTCTTGGAGAAGTGCTCGGATCAAGCTACATCACATGCTGATTCTCGTCACAAATATCGTCGAACACGCACCGGAGTGCCCTTTCCAGTGGGAGGCGCTGCGAGCCCGTCGTGAGCTGTGCCTGGAGATCATCGGAGCCACAGCTCAAGACATTGTGGATGGCATACCAAAGTCCCTTGGTGGGAGCATGTCAGACATGGACCCGCAGTCTCCTGCCGCTTACTTTGATGCGCTTCGACTAATTTGGCCGTTGAGCCAGGTCTACGTCATGCCGACCGTTCCAAGACACATGAGGAAAATTGCAAGGAATGCGCTATATCGCATAGGGAGAGAAAAAGGCATTCTGGTGGCTTTGCAGCCGCGACCTGGTGGCATACACTTTCCTCCTGAGGCAATGGCTGGTATTTGTGTAGATGACCTTGGAGACCGGGAACATCCGCCAAACGATCTGTCGGACAATGGGCCCCAAAGCCCTTGAAAGCGAACGGTATTGGGTCATCAACGCGCTGCTGTCATCCCACGGGCCGGACCAACAATAAGCTCGGGGCCGGACGAGGCACAGCTGCATATAACGATGATCTTCTTCCCATTGAACACAAGCATGGCCCAATCGCAATGTGCAAACAACAGTAGGGGTCCAGCTAAGCATTCGCGCGACGCCCTGAGCTCGGGGATAGCGAAGCTTGTTTCTTCTTAGTGCCCTGCGTTTAGATAACAAGAGGATCGTTTAGATAGCAATGTCCACTGTCAGCACGGCAATTTTGTGCCGAGTCAGCCAACCATCCCCTTTTGGGCAAGCCATTCGACCTCATCAGCGCCCTAGGTGCCGACCTCCGATTGACGGTCGCTCAGCCACTGGCTCAGAGCGCTGAAGTCAGGCATTCTGCTCCTGCGAACGCCTTTTGCCAGGCGGGCTGCGGGGGCGGTGTCTAGTGTGCTGCAGTTGCGAATGCGATGAAACCGACAGAGTGCGTGGATGGCTTTCTTTGGCTGCCTGCAAAGCCGTGAGATCTCCGCTTGCTGGAAAATAAATATTATGGCTCGAGTCTAACGACGAATTTGATGTCCAGTCAAGATATTCACACTTTTCAACATCAACACCTACCAGAGGACACCACTTGAGGATCAGTCACCACAATGGAGTCCCTCATCCGCGTCAGAGCCCTCGGGAACAAAACGGACAATGACGTTTGCCCCATACAATCCCTCGATGAAAGTCAGTAATAATGGAAGCCAGAATGTAGTCAGGTATCATCAATGCTGACCGAGACTCAGATGCTTCGCAGCCATTTATCGGAACCATGTCTTTCTACAAGTTTAACATGATTCTATCCGGAAGCTTTACGGCTGCTGCATGCCTCATTATCTTCGTCTTCATGTTTCTTCACGCGACGCATCTTAGCAAGAGTAACGAGCAGATCAAGTAAGCCCCATACCCTTCAAACTCTGCCAACATGTGCTAACTACCCTTCAGAATCTTGCGCATCTCGCTCATCATTCCATTCTGGTCGATATTCTCGTTTCTTTCAATATGCTTCCCGGCAGCACAAGTCTATCTGCACCCGTGGCTTGAGTTCGTTCAATCCATCTGCCTTGGCACCTTTTTCCTGTTGCTGTGCGAATTCGTCTCCCCGAGCGAGCAACACAGGGATGTGTTCTTCGCAGCTCTTACCATCAAGGACAAAAAGTCCGAAACTGGAACGCAAGATGGCTTGCAATGGTTCAGGGTGCGTCGATTAGATGATGATCTGTGAATATTCTCTCAGGTCTAACATGCTTCCAGAGGATGTGGTTTTCCATCTTTCAGTATCCTGTTGTCTCCTTGTTGATCGCCATCCTGACGGCCATCACACAAGCCGCAGGTGTTTACTGCGAATTTGCTAGCAAGGCTCATTTTGCTAAACTCTGGGTGAGTCTTCACATGAAAGCCAGCAATCCATCACTTCGCTAACTCATCCATCAAAGCTTTCAATTATTGCCAGTGTATCGCTTACAATCGCAATCATGACGGTTATCCGTTTCTACATGCAGTTGAGAGGCCACCTAGCCCATCACCAGCCCTTGGCCAAGTTTTTGGCATTCAAGCTGGTTGTGTCCCTGACGTTCCTTGAAAATGTAAGTCTATAATCAATCCTCCGTGTTTAGGTCTTCGTATTAACCAGTCTGTAACAGATTATCTTTTGGATTCTCCGAGATGTCGGGGCTTTGAACCCCACGGCGATGCTGACCTGGGCGGATCTCAATATTGGCATCCCTTCCATGCTTATCTGCATTGAGATGTTCCCGTTGGCGATCTTCTTCCACTACGCCTACTCCCATCGCCCTTACATCATCGGTGGTGGTCACGCTCGCCGCCCCGTCGCTGGAGATCTGGAGGCATATGAACCTCAGAGTTATTCTGGCGGACCAGGAGGCTTGTGGGCACTCGTGGAGATGTGGAACCCCATGGAGATTGTGGAGGCTATCAAGTTTGGTTTGCATATGAAGGCAGAGGAGCGTAAGCAGAGAAACGCCCGCAAGGGGTTTCCTATGACAAGCTACCAGCCTGTCGATGACCAATACGGCAGATACTAAGATTGGGAATCGGTTTGAAGATGGTATATATGTAACATTATCATAGAATATTACGCAGCGTGTTTCATTAATAAGTCTATCTACAAGGCTTCATGACCGACTAGAGCGCGTTTACCTTAGCGGCATGCTCATAAACGAGAGGTTGAGCCTCGGCATCGTCCAAGTAGATCGTGAAACCATCATTGTGGTTGCGACCGTAGGAGTAGTTGGAGTACCCATATTGCCAGTACATGTCAGGCATCTCTTCCTCGAGAGAGATAGCTTGCCACTTGCCAAGGACCTCAGTACGAGGCGTGTTGTCCACGACGCCAAGGTACTCCAGGCGCTTGTCGGCAGTCAACCAACCGTACTCCTCGTGAACCACAGGCTTGCCGACCTTGCGGCCAGAGGCGGCGTGATCGCGGATCCACTGCTCTGTCCATTCGATAGTCTTGCTCCACCAATCGGGATACGAGTGGAAGGTACCAAAGTCAATGTTGGGCAGTGCGAGCTCGTGGTCGAAGTCGCTTCCATCAGCTCCATTGTAGGCCCAGTCATCGGACTCGATGTTGAAGCCGCCCTCGCCGCCCCAGGTGACAAGGTGGTGACTGTCAAGGCTCTTGACGTAAGCACTCATCTCCTTGATCCAAGCACCGAGACGTGCCGGGGTGCAGTCGTCACTTCGGGGAAGGTTACGGGTGCCATCAGCTCCACAGCGCGGCTCGTTGGCGAGCTCCCAAGCCATGATCGCGGGAGAGTCCTTGTAACGGGTGACCATTTCCTTCACGTAGCGCTTGAACGCGTCTTTGATCGCGGGTACGTGGTAGAACTGAAGCAATGTCTGGTTAGCTTTGCCATCCTGGTCGTAAGATAACGAAACACCTACGTCGTCGTGGTACTTGCCACCGAGATTAACGGTGTAGACATCCATGCCGCCATAGTCGGCCCAGTTGTTCGTAAGCGCGACGATCAACTTAATACCGACGTTCGTCGCGGCGTTGACAACCTTGTCGAAGGCGTCGATGTTAATCACCGAGGTGCCGTTGTCATACCATCTCTGAAAGACGATGTCGGTGTCCCCAGCGCCCTCGCCGCCGTATTGAGGTAGACCACCGGCATTGTAGGTGACGTTCTTGTCGTTGAAGCCCCAGGTCCGGAAAACTTTCAGGCCGGCTTCCTTCGCGGCTGTCATGCCAGCTTCGACATCTGCTTGGTTCTGAGGGCCATTGTCAGCTTCTATCATCTTGATCGAGACCCATCGTATTTCCTTACGTTGTCGAAAGGAAAGTAGTAAGCATTGCTTCCCGCAAAATTAAAGTCCTCGCCATCCAGCTGGAACTTAGTACCCGAAGTCGTCACGTATCCTTTCCTGACGCATGGCGCGGCGGCAACTCCGCCGGCCAGCAGGCCAATTGAAAGGAGACCGGAGAGATTGGGCAGCATTGTTGACAATTGACGGATGCTTCAGCTGTCTCTACGTCTTCCAATCCAGGGCGATGAATCCATCCTAAACGAGGGCGGGGACTGCTCATATTTATTGCGATCGATGGAAGATCCCCTGCCCCAGACTTCTGGGCCGACACTTATCCAGATTGATCACGGAGACCGTTGGCCCGCATGCCATGCGATCTTCTCCAAGGATTTGGAGATGCCAAGAGTGCGGGCAGGCCACTTTGCCTCTTTCATCACGGAGGGAGGTCGTCCGAAAGTTGGGGTTCGACCAATCATAAGAGCTGTTGGTCTTCGGAAAACATCAACAAACTTTGGCTGGCTCGATCGTACCTGATCCGTTGTTGTATCCGCTGTTGGCCAACCTCGCGTTCTGGCAATCATCAATATCGAATGTTGAGGATGTGCCCGGACTGCCTTGAGGCCAAGATGGCGGAGTACAGCTAGTCTTCACGAGGGTCGATGACTATCGAACCAGGCGTCAGCTTCTGATTTGTTCCAGGGCATCCAAGCTCTGAATTGATGTCCCGGCCAACGTTGACGTCGTCTGATGTTGCATGACCATTTCGTCTTGAGTCCAATCTACCCGACGGCTCAAACGCATGTTCATCCGAAGGCCAAGCATGGGCTCCGCACACTCGTCCAAGCTCTCCAATTTTCACCTCGTCACTGCTGGCGTGAACCCCAGTCCCTTCGCGTCGTCCGACATTTTTAGCGAGCCATTCATAGACCACTCTGGCAAAAGAGTGGGACCAACAGCACCACGCCGTGAACATAAACCCCAGTTGATCATGGGGTCCTTGCATGGAGATGGCGCGGGGTAGCTGTGTCTTGCGGCCCAGGTTGTCAATGACCCGAACCCGAGCATCCGGCGGGGTGGTTATCGACGGGATTGAAGTTGTTATGCTGCAATGATGATTTGGCAGACAACATCCCGGGTTTTCGGCCGTTATGTGCCGATCTAATCATATACTATGTATTGTCACTGTGCAACAAACGATGTGGTATGAAGGCCCTATTGACGTTTTGGACTCCACTCAAAGGGAAGACTGCGATTACGTTATCAGCAAGTCTCCGTTGATGACGGTAGGAGGAACAGTTCAATGTAACGAGAACGAAACATCAGTCGGTCGAGACTAAACGAATGTTGAAAGAAGAAAAGATGTCATAATTGGGAACTAGAGCTAACTAACGGGATAAAAGGAAATGGTTGTATCATCAGCAGCCCGCGCTGGCATTTGAAGATGAGATTTATGGAAACATGATGGAATTAAAGCAGAAAGTTGAGAGCCCACTACCTAAAGCAGTAAAGAGCGACCCGAGAGTTAGGTGAACACAACAGAAGCAGCACTACTTAGTAGGTTCCTACATACCTAACTATATCTTACTCCACCCTGCGTTATGTTCTATAATAAATCTGTACAAAAGAATAAGTTGCGGAGTACACGCACGATGCTAATGCAAGAGCACTCAAGATCAAAAATTGAAGCGTTTGTAACGCTTCAGCTTGTTGCCTCGAGAGAGAATCGAACTCTCGATCTCCTCATTACTAGTGAAGCGCTTTACCACTGAGCCATCAAGGCGGATTGACGACGGCACCGTGAATGGGGCTTATGGACGCATGCAGTGGATGCGGATGGGGCCAGATGGGGCTGTGGTTGTTGTATCGTGGGTCTCGTCAATTGAATGGAGGCCAAAGGCGTCAAGTGAATAGTCGCTAACCTGGTATCTTGGTTGCGAGGCCTGGCACATTAAATCCCATGAAAATGTGCTAATGGTGAAGGTCCCGAGTAGAGGAATCATCACAAAGCTGAGGTCAACACCACTCTTCATGCGGCATGTTGGAATAACGGCGGAGCTCCTCAATCACCCGGGGTCATGGAGTGGTCATCTAGGCTTCAGGTGGAGTTTGACCATACACACTTAATGGCTCAAGTTGCCTGATTGGAGACCGTGTTTTTGGTCTCGTCAGAGATCCCTATACTGAAGCCGTGAAACGATGACTATGAGGTCCGGGTGAGCTGCCGTTGACTTGAAGGTCACTGAAGTTTCATTGGTCTTTTCGAATTGTTCCGCTGGTACGGATTCGGGCCTCCCCTTTATGGTTGTGCACTATCTGTCTACTTTGCATAAGGTAAGCAACCTAATGGTAGCTAAACGGCTGGTCACAGCTACATGTTGATATGACCTTAGCCGTAACTCTTACTCGAGGTTCCGCATACTCGGGGAGACGGCTGGGGATGAGCAAGGCGCTTCTTACCATCAATGTCCATTATTTTTAAGATGTTTGGCAATGTGATTCGAGAAAGCTGTACTCGGACGGTTGCAATCCGTGCCGCGATCCGGATGCGACGGCTCTTCACATCTTGTATTCGTTAGGCAGTTGATGAATCATGCCACCGCTAAAGTAGACTGGTCCGACATATAGTGTGTGATAAAATACTCGGTAATGTTGAGGAAGTTTCGGGCCCATCGACTAGAGGGTTTCACAGTAGGAAGATAAGGAGTAATAAGCGACGGGTTTTCATGGCCAACAAATCGTTGAAAAAAAAAGCCCTGTGTTTGTCAAAGTAAGCGCTGTCGCTTTTCCTACCGGTGCTACTGAATGTTCTAGGAATAAGCTCAGTTGGTCTCTGCGAACATTCATTTCCATATTGGTATGATGAGGAGCACTATCTGGAGGGCCGAATACTGTGAAAGAAGAACCGGAATGTTCTGGATATTTGTTAGTCCATAAAGTCGAAACGGAACCAAACCCAGAATTCCCGCATTGGGAGTAGCAACCACGGGCTTCTCCCTCCGTGATCCTTACCAACAGCCGAAATCCACCAATTACCGAGACTATCTCACTGCCGCTTACCACCATGTCATTAAACATGGAGAAATCCTGGGGTTGATACGTTGCACCTGCTATAAGTTGGGTCTTGATGGCTGTCGTATGTGACCACGAGGTTATGGCTTCATTTACGCCCAGGCACCTTACTCGTCGAATTTCATCAGCAGCTGCCGCGTTCATCTTGCCAAGCCTCTTTGACAATGTGACTTCATTAAAAGTCAGTTGATGTAGCAATGGCAATCATATGAGAGGGAGGGACGAGCGAGGCATATAAAGTGGTCAACCAGGACTTGTCGTCACCTGGTTCCGACCTGACCGTGGTTCCCTGTGTGCAATTTGTGTCCCGAAAACCAAGCTTTGATCGTCATGAAGGCCGTCATCCTATCCCTGCTGGCGATTGCCGCTCAACAAGCAGCTTCTCATGCAACCTTTCAGGCTCTTTGGGTTGATGGAGTCGATGTAATATCTCTAAGGTTGTTCGAAGTGTTAAACGTGGTGCTGACTTGAAATAGTATGGTGGCCAGTGTGCCAGACTTCCCCTCTCAAACTCCCCGGTCACAGACGTTTCCTCCACCGATGTTCGATGCAATGCCAACAGCGGGCCAGTGGCCAAGAAATGCGTCGTGAAGGCTGGCTCTTCTGTCACGGTTGAGATGCACCAGGTAAGCATGTTCAGTTGTGACCGTGCAACCCGCATTGGTTTCTGATCGGGGATTCATAGCAACCAAATGATCGGTCATGTACTTCAGAAGCCATCGGTGGCGCTCACTACGGACCAGTCATAGCATACATGACCAAGGTTTCCGACTCTTCTTCGGCCGACGGATCTACCGGATGGTTCAAGGTCTATCAAGATGGATGGGCCGCCGCGGCTGGCAGTGCCAATGGAGATGGGGACTATTGGGGATCGAAAGACATGAACACTTGCTGCGGCAAAGTTCAAGTCAAGATCCCCTCGGATATCCCAGCTGGGGACTACTTGCTTCGGGCCGAGGCGATTGCCCTTCACGCAGCAGGCTCCAGCGGTGGTGCTCAGCTGTACATGACATGCTTCCAGCTGACTGTCACCGGCGGCGGGAGTGCCTCGCCTGGAACAGTTTCATTCCCTGGAGCATACAAGGCTTCTGACGCTGGTCTGCTCATTGACATTCACAGAGCCCTGAATACCTATGTCGTGCCGGGGCCTACAGTCTACGCTGGCGGTTCGACCAAGAGTGCCGGATCTGGTTGCGTCGGGTGTGAGTCGACGTGCACCGCTGGCTCCGGGCCTACCGGAACGGCCTCCAGCGTTCCCCAGCCGAGCACGACTGGCGGTCTTCCGGGATGCACTGTTGCCAAGTACGGCCAGTGTGGCGGTACGGGATGGACTGGTTGCACTACCTGCGCTGTGAGTAGTTAAGCCGTCTTGTGCCGAACTTGTATCTGACAGCTCAATCTTTAGTCTGGATCAACTTGTCAAGCCGTATCAGCACCTTACTATTACCAGTGCGCGTAAGTCTCAAGGATCCTGCTAGATAAATGGCAGCAGAGACTGGACAGACGAATGGATAAATAGGATTTCGATTCGGTCTGGTCGATGAAGGTCTTGACAAGCGCCAATTGCTGAGCATTAGATGCCGACATATTGTCAATCTTGCCTTCAAAACCCATCTAAGATTCTTGCTCTCGTTGAATCGAGAGTCGTATTATATAAAAGCATTTGCTAGTTGACATCGCGACAGCCTTGCGTGCCTTGCATGTATGAATTGCGTCAGGGCGCTTCTATCTTCAAGCTGTTTCAATGACATCCCCAGAACTAAGTGTTGACGCCGCCTTCATTTCGAGAAGATGATCAGCCATGGCCCACCTCCCAGATGGTCCGGAAGAAATAATCTTCAGTTGGTAGGCGAGCCATGCACCGATACCTTTATCCGTCTTCCCCACAACCTCATACGCCATTCTCATTGGAAACAAGATGGATGAGCTGGAAACATCCCGCAGTCGTTCAAGGTGAAAATCAACGCTGCGACAGATGGTGATGGCGGATGAATACATTCGCTTGATCAGTAGTCCAGATTGTTCCAGATCTTGCAGGAGCAGGTTGAGCCCTTGTATGAACATCATTACCAAGATGAGAGCGCCGTTGAACGTAGTCGAGATGCTAGCATCATAAAGAGAGTAATACTGCAGGACCGTCGCCCAGATAGGCTTTCTTGCTCCATGTTGGTCTGCATGCGTGGGCGTTGTCTTCGGTGAAGCCACCTCAGTCCAGCGCGAGAGGGCGGTGGAGGCCCAGCATTTTTCCCACGCCTCCAAATCTTGCAGAACCGATCGTGCCTGTGATCGAAGGGAGATCAATGACGCAAGGTCCGCAGCATTCATTTGGCCAACAAGCATTTCGTCTCGCTTAACAAAGATTTCGGGACAGTCGGCAACAATGTCGATAAGCAGCTGTAACGGATCCTTGCGCTCAGGATGCTGTAGCCAGGGTATGCTCTTCCACTCAGGTCGAGATAAAATGGTTCCAGTATGAGTTATCAGAGCAGCGAAAATGATGGAAGACCGGGCCCGCTCCAGAATAATGACACAGGGTAGTTCCTGCATGGACTCAGGTCCCCTGACTTTCAGCAGCTGCTCAAAGCCGCGAGCATGGCCGATCCATCCGTCTTCTCGATCGCCCACTAGGAGCTTTGATAGTTGTGAGCATGACGGCTTATGGTTTTAGTCAGCCTGAGGTTTCCAGGAGAAAGCTTACCTCGAACAGGGCCATTACGATGACTGCTTCCAATACGTCAAAGGATCGAGAGCCCTTGGGGTCGCCAAGAGCATTGTTGAGAGCCTTTAAGGCAGTGCCGTATTTCCGCAATCCTCGCTGCACAACTGGCTTTTGCCTATTATCGAGGCCAAACATTGTGGTGGCCAAGGCGACGAAGCATTTGCCGGTGATGGTCCTGTCGGTGCCTGGTTTGACCACGATATCCTCACTTTCCCGAAGCAAATGCTTATGTGTATACGTCACGAAGATATCGTCCATAGCTGTCGGCATCAAAGAAGGTTCCAAGAAACGGAGTGGAATCATGTAAGCGGCGCTGATCGCCGTTGTCATGACCGCAGGCCGCTCCGGTGATGCGATGGTCGACCGTCCTGAAGATGGTGGCGATGGCAACGAGCTTTTGACGGGCGCAGAATCTGGGCAGTTGCTGCCGCTGTATTGGATAAAGCTGAATCCGCGGATTCCTCCGCATTTTAGCTTGGCTTTGAAGCATCTGTTGCATTCGGGAGTCGTGAGGTCTTGAATACTCGTCAGACGGGATCATGCGTTGGGCTCCTCGTAGACGTCGATGCAAGCCGACTTACCGCATTTGACGCGCCGGCGGCGACAGTTGTCGCAGGCCTTTGATCTTCCGCCAACCCCAACCATTTTGGGCCTGATATGATGGCAGCTCGGTAGTTAGACAATGGCTTCCAATTTACGAATCAACATCAGAGTGCGGTATGCTCGATAGAAGCGGAGATGCATCGTCGTTGACATTGTCGCGACGCGCCAAACTAAGACTGGGTCTGTGACGAGAGTGGCTGGAAACAGCGTCATACCATTGGGTTCTCCCTGAGACCGGATCCGTCGACAAGCTAGCACCATCTCAGTTAGCATCCTCTGCTGCCTAAACCAGAGACCTGGAAGGGATAGAGACGATCACTTGCGCATAGGTCTAGCAAAAGAAGGAGAAAACAAGAGGTGGGAGCTGATTGTGTTTTACTTCATTGCCTCAAGCACACTTCAACCATGATCGTTTCTGAATTCCTCATAAATTCTCAAATGTTCTTGCAGTGCTTGCCCCTCAACTGTAGGCTGCACTGCTCCAGAGCCTTTGGAAGGAAGCCGCCCGCACTTAGTTTAGTGGGCGCGTAGTACGTGGACAACGGAATGCGTCCTCGAAATATGAGCCTAATGCGGTAATGCCATTGGGGTCAGCTGGGAATAACTAGGATTTACTCAGCGATCACTTAGCGTCCAGAAATGGCCCAAGCCACGAGAGTGATCTGCATCACAAACTCCACAATCAGCACTGCCATGATGCCGACCACAGTATCTTGGCCAATGATGACTACTTTCGATCAAGCCGCATGGCAATCAAGCTTTCCAACGGGCGTGTGGCTGACGGCGTTTTAAGCTGCTCGAGGATTCAGCCAAATAAGGAAATTTGTTTCTGAGGCCGCCTCATGCAATGTAGGTAGTCAATAAGGGACTTTGGTCTTCATGCCCTGCCCAATATTTAAAGGCGTCTTGATTTCCTCCGACTACTGCGAGTGGAAGTAAATTATCACTGAAACAACATATACAGCAACGAGCAAAACATGAGCGCGACCAAGACATACTCATACAATCATGGCCCTTCAGGTGCCCAAACATCTCTGGCACCTCCAGCATACTCCGAAATTGACCCGGCCCATATCAGACGCCTGTCAATCGATTCCGCTTCCTCTGACTCCGAGCCTTTGGATCCTTCGGAACAGGAGGAACTAAATGCGGCTCTCAATATCGAGCCGGGCACTGGCTGGATACCCGAGCTACATGCCACGGGTGCAAATCTATCAAGCCCCCTGAAGGTGAATACCTTATAAACCAGAGCTCTTGCACCAGTCTGATTGAGTCGTGCTGCTAATAATGTATGTAGAAACCGGTCGTGATTCCACGCATTGATTTTGGGGGACCTCTCAAAGTACCATTGCCATTCATGCGAGCATACTCTCCCGACCTCCGAGCTCATGACATTCACGAAGAAGACTTCGTGGGCTTCATCGACAATTTGACAGTTGCACAAGGCCCCCCAGCCCCACTGGCCGCACTGAATGCTGCAGGAACGATAGTTGGCTATGTGTGCGTACCCCGAGCGTTTCATACTGTCCTTCGGTCACTGACATCCTCAGACCCAATCACTGGGCTCAATTGGCAGGAGGCATCACCAACCTGACAGTGGGCGTGGGCTCGGCTGCAACACGGATTATTCGATCGAAAGTATTTCTCGAAAAGGTAAACAAAGAGTATTTTGCGCCAAGAGGTCTGAAAGCTTCAGTGTGTAAGTCTAAGGACTTGTCCGCGAGAATTGGCTGTGGCGAGACTCTGCCAGATTTACAGTGAGTTTATTTATGTTTGTATATGGTCCTTGACAGAAGAGCGAGCTTACAAATTACAGACCTCGAGATGTGAACTGGGAGATGGATATTACGGCTCGCCGAATGTCGGCTCTACAACCCTACGTCGCGCCACTTACGTTTGATGTGCCACCCCCAACAAAGGATCGAAACATCATAGATCGACTCACAGAGAAGCAAATTCAACGACGAGTGAAGAAGAAGGAGAAGAAGAAAGGAAAACGAGCAAGGAAGATGAGGAGGAAGCAGTCCCGTCAGGAACGAAGACAATCGGAACGTAACGGGACGTCAGACTTTATCGACTCCGACTCAAGTAGCTCAAGTTCCAGTTCCAGCTCCAGTTCCAGTTCCGATAGCGACATGGAACACTTGAATAGAAAGGCTGAAATTGTGTGCTCGAAAGCTGACGAGAAGCTGGAAGGAGCAAGCCACAAGGAGGCTAAGGACATACAGAAGAAGAGAGACGAAAAGCTACGCAAGATTGAGGAAAAGATGGAGAAGACCGCTAAGAAGAGGGAGAAACGCGCCAAGAAGCGAGGAAAGCATCACGCCAAGGATCACAAAAAGGCTAACAAGATGGAGTTCATAGTGATAGAGAGCTTGGAAAGCGATTCGGTTGATTGTGAATAGATCGAATGGAAACTTTGGTAGAAAGCTCGGAACGATATCGCAACATTTTGATTACTACCTCGATGTGAGCCTACTTCCTTCTGCTCCCATCTCCCATAAGACGGTGGATTAGCTTAGAGCTTCCTGGCCCTGAGGGTTCAAACGTCTAGTTCCTTAAATGATCACGCGATGCCGTTTCCTATCACGAGTAGCCATATGCTTCTGATGCGAACATCTCTGGCCAACAACACGGCCAGAATGAGGTGCAACCTGGAGACTGCAACATGGCTGTACTCATTCAAAATACCCAGTATAAGCGAGATGTCAGCCATCTGATTCGATGTGCTGCACATAGGGGAGATTGCGGTGCCAAATGTTTACTGGAAATACTTTGGATTTGAAATGTTGAAACCTGAGACCCCATCTGGGTGGTTCTGGCTTACACTCTTCTCACGGTCCGTACTTGAAACCGACGAACTCTCAGCCGCCATGTAACCCGGTCTGTTCGGGAGCAAGTGCAAAACTGGTAGCCTCTTCATCTGCCTCTCTGATTCAGCGGCTACCTCCATCTGCGTCAGCTCTAACCTCCTCTTTCTAAGCGCCTTGATAATGTGCCAGGCTGAATGGTGCTTTTTAGATCTAATGTCATAGACCAATTCCGAAAATCTTTCGGGACTGTCCTGATCTGTGTGAGCATGCTTCTGCAAATCACTCAATCGGCTAATGAAATCTAGCTCCACGATTCCGGACGATTTCGGCAATGGATTAGGCTGCTTCAAGACCCACCAAAATCCGAAGCCTGTCAACATCACTACAGAGCAGCCGGCACCTATGAACACCAGTACTGTCCAAGGCTGACTGACGAACCTCTTGATCGAGCGCCCGCCCGTGGCGGTTGTGAGGAGTTCGGGTGGAAAGGTTCGTTTATCTGCGGGAAGTGCAAGCGTATAGTTTGCGTACTGCATAGCTGTTATGGCAAACTGCAATGGAACTGAGAGAAAGTTTTGAAGCAGCTCCACGTGCATCTCGTTGTCCGGTAAGAACTCGGTATAGGTACGATACTTCCATGCCATTCTTGCAATTGTAATGTTGATTGACTCAAGGTCAAGCTGGCTCGAAAGGGGTCTCGGTACAAAGATTCTGTTCCAGATGAGGTCCATGTCAGGCACTGACATCTTGACTCTGACGGGTTCAGAGATGGGCTCTGCGTGCTGAATTGACAAGTCCTTCTGGCTATAAGTTGTCGTCGCGTTCTGTCGATAAGCGGTAAAAAGCGTTTTTGACACCAGCGGCGCTCGAGTCCATGATAGTTGCGTTGCGCAGGCTCTTGTGAATTGAAAGAAGCTCGGACACGCCCGCCAGCCTATTGGTTTGTTAACCTCTTTTGGAGAATTTTGACGGAAATTGTACTTTTACCAGCTGCAACTGAATCTCCAAATTGCTTCTTACACATCTGCAATGCATCTCCCAACGGCGTCTGATATACGTTGCAATCCTCCTCAATATCAAATTCGAACCCGTCAGCTACAGGCTCAAACCTGGCCACCATACCAGGTGCACCCTGAATCATTATCGACTCCGTATTGTTGAACAGACCACCTTTGAGGATGGTGCTGTTAAGAAGGGGTCCCACTTTGCGAGCTATCTCCATGCCGCCTGGCAGAAAAGAGACCGAACAGTCTTCAGTGCAGCCTTTCATCTTCCAAGTTGTTGCATATCGTGGGTAATTCAGCAGTTGCTGTGTCCATGTATCGAAGAAACCGTCGAGATAGGCCGTCGAAATGAGGCCCAAGATTGACACGTCAGGAGGAATGTTACCAGCATATACGTCGACCGTTACGCCTTGCTTGATGAAGTAATCTTCAAAGCTGTTTTGAACTATTGCCGATCAGTTCAAACTTCAAAGTTGGTTGGAAGATTTCGCATGACGGGCGGGAAATACACTTAAGGACTGAACCAAGTCCCAAACCCATGAAAGGCAATGCAAGTCTTCCAAGGTTAGCGCTCTGAATTGCTCCAAGGGGCACATATCTCACCTTATCACACCCCAATTGCTCCTGAACCTTCCCTTGAAGATGAACTTCATGGTAGAAAACCAATCAGTTGCTGGACTGAGTTGAAAGAAGCTAGACGCCGATGCCCCATCCACGCGTCCTGATCTAGAGGCAAGTGACCACCGCAATGCATCGGAGAGACTAAGAACAACATATGCCAACAGCATGGCATATAGTTGGGAGAGTAGTGACAAGAGAAGGTTGGGGAAGAAGCATCGAAGGTCCATGAGCCGATAACGGGATTGCCCTCGAAGAGAACGTGTTAGATAAATAGCGAGTACACGACGGTGAATATGAGGCTTGTGATCCATGCCGTGAGAGCAAGCCCAATAGGACGGCAATTTTCCTTCAGGCTCCTATCTGTCACTGGTCTTGACGGCGACGCGTAAGCAGTCTCTCCAGCTGCGTTGAGGAAGTCGGGGTTGGATGGGACCGGCTGGTGGGATGGGAAGTGAAGATCCAGGGGGATCCTACGATCAGGGTCGAATATGAACGAGATCTCTTCAAGCTCGGAAGAGTAATCGCTCTTCGTCATTGTGAATAGCGAACGAGCGTGGTTCTGTCAAACTCCGACGCCAGCCATCGACAAGTTTCAATGAGCCTCGAGCAACAGCTAGTAACATGAAGTGAATGGCGCGACGAGTGGACAAAACTCCGCCAAGATAACGGGGGCTGACATTGATATGAACGGCGACATGGTGAGACAGACACAGGTGCTCGCTACATCTGCATTCCTCTAATGGCGCATTAGCTTTGGCTTGATTGCAAGATGATTACTGGCCAGGAATGGTGGGTGGCTTTCTGGTAACGACGATGACTGGTGGAAGTGAGCCAAGATTGCTGCTTGTAGTCGTGATTGCCTTTTAGATTGCAATCAAGAACCTCCAAGCCCCCTACCTGGACGTCGGGTAGCTTGCTGGGGACGATCTGGAACCACCCGCGACCCAGACGGGCGCCCCCACAAGGGCCAAAAACACTAACCAATCATGATATGAAATATACACTTTGCGATCCTCAGACGTCTCCTGCCCCTGTTGTGGGAGGACAGGTGCCTGCACAGTGCTGACGGAGCTGAAAAGCATGGTGCGGGGTCCCTGGTTCCCGGTGAAGGTCACGATGGCAAGGGTCTAACATTGCTTTTTTCCTTCCAGCAGCCCGATCGAAACTTGGCCTGTCTTTGCGATGTTTCGTTTCTTCAAGACTGAAATCGTCACCAATGACAGAAATGGCATACCAAAAAATACTTAAGCCAAAATCAAGCTTCCAACTAAGGACGATATCCGCCCGCCACGATCGTGACTACGGCGGTTGTGGCTGCGCATGTTCCTCGGGTGGTGTAGCCAGGACACGAAGAGCGACAACCACCAGATGTGGCGTTTTTAGTCCATGCAGCGTGACCAGAACCACATACACGCCCATGCGCACAGCCTCGAGTACGTTGCATTTGAATTGATTGACAAGCCAGGCCTGATGTCCGGTTGTAAGATCGGGCTCGTGTTGAGCCGGTTGGTCGCTTGCTGCAGTGGCGGCATGCCAATGAGTGACCCTGCCCATTTCCTTGCAACTCCATGCCGAGTATTTGATCTAAGCTATCGTTATCGCTAAAAGATTGGCAAAGCCTCTGCAGAAAGGAAATGACTTTGTTATGCATTGAATGTCACTATCAATGCAGTCCCATGCCAACCAGACAGTGGAGGACCGCTTGATCCGCTAGTTATCAACACGACCACAACTGGTCATGATATATTTCTGACTGATCATCGAGAATTCGGGCCTAACTTCATATATAGTGAATGATTCAATATTATTCATATTTCTTAGTTGTCAGCCTTTCCAATACTGCACGCCTACAATTCTTGAGTAGTAAAACGCGTGGAAGCTTGTTGGATTCAAGAGTTGCATCTGCGCTGGGGAAGTTGCGTTAGCGACAATACTTTTTATGCATGACCACTAGCATTGCTCTGTTTTCTAGGCTTGAGTCTTGAAGCAATGAATCTTACTTAATCGATGATCTGAACAGGCCAGCGAGGTGAGACTTGGGGTACAGTTGCTCCAGGCTTTTACTGATATATGGCTATCATAGAACAGGGCGAAACCCGGCCTCTCCCGATCAAGTCCTTTTGCGACGCCAAACTCTCATGGTCACGTGTGGACTTGTATGTGTTACTGTACATTTAGCATTTAAAGTAACTTGGTAAGGTCATCGTCAATAGAATGAAGACGACCCATTATTAGGGCTTGGAAGGGCTCTGTTGACTGCAGTTCCGAACGCTCTACAGGTCGCATCTATTAATTGTGGAAGGAATAGGTGTAATCGAATTTGGAAGTGAACTGCAACACTGCGAGGGAAATTGAGAGCTCGCGAAGGAACCAACAAGACTGCGGATAGACGCCAAGGCGGGCAATCGGCACATATATCGGTCTTCCTTGTTGCTTTTCGTCACTGCGCCGCAATTTAGCACCCTTCATACCTTTTCTCTTCGTCACAATTACCCCATGTGCTGCCTTTTTCTTCCGATACTGCCCTTGACTGAACACGCCACCGATGGACATCGTCGTCCCAAATCATTGATTCTATCCCAATGCGTTTACTCCCCTCGGTCAAATGGTTCCTCGCGGGCTTCCACGCAGCTGTAGCTGTCGCTGCGAATTCGGGAATTGTCGAGGTCGACCCGGTATTTCCGCACAACGACACCTACGCTCCGACAGCCTTGTTCCCTATTGTCTTCGCCATCCGGAACTCAAGCCTCGCGCAGTTCGTCAACCCTTACATCGAAGTAAGAGTTCGGAATTCAAGCGATCGGTTCGACACATATGTCACTCACGACTACGACCTTCGACAGGCGAATTTCTCGAGCAGCGACCCTTACTTTGAGAGTCGTGGCTTCTGAAGATTTAAAAAAGAAGGTAGTTACACAATAGTGTGGACCGTCAGGCAGCAAAGCTGCCTCGCGGATGAGTCCAGCC